TTCAAATTTAGGTCCATATTTTCAAGAGAACCTTGGCTGGCATTTGCTATTCAAAATCAACTAATTTGTTGATGATCCCCTCTTCTGGAGTGAAAAACTTATTAGAGGAATCTGTTTCAAGAGAGAGTGGTAATGGAATCTTTATGACTGCCTCCTCTATTGTTATTGGAGAAAGAAAAGACACCTATGACCAAGGTATAGGTTTTAGTCCTCCTACAGGACACTCTCTAAGCAATTTTATAATTACAAGTCAGGCAGTTAGCTTAAAGGCACAGTCAAAACTGTTGTAGCTTAAGATGTGCTTCATAGAATGAAATATAAGTACTAAACCTCAAAATGCATCTATTTTATTGAAAAGGAAAAAAACCCAAGGAAAGATATACTTATCTCTAATAGCTAGTTTTATTTTCAGATGCAGGACTCAAAAAATTAATAAGGACACAGTTTTTTTTAATCAGCTGATTTAATTTTTCTGAGAGGTTTTATCTTTATACTATGCAAATATTAAAGAAGTGGGGTGGGGGCCTAACTTGAAAAAATATTCCTATGGTTTTCTCATAAACTATCAATTTCATGTATTATTGTTTCTAAGTGTACCTTTTATTGTGTGTACTTTTTATGATTAGCATCAATATTGTATCAGCCTCTGGAGAGGCATTACAAACAAAGTTATGAAACTGTTCAGTGATGACTTACATGAATAAAAAGAAAAATTAAGAGTGTGCATCAAGATCGTGCATGTATTCCAGTTGTTTGTGTTTATGAAATACATCTTGGATTAGATGTAATTTTTAAAAAGAATCATCAATTCTCAAAATGTGGGGCAATCCCACATTTGTGGCATGGATGGCAACCCTATCAGTAGATGCAACTTCTTGCTAAATACTCGACTATATGAACCCACACTCTTTGTGCCTAAATATCATGAGGTAAAAAAAAAAAATGGATTACTTCAACCAACTCTTTTATCCACTGGGCTATGTAGATAAAAGTGTTGGTTGAATAATCCAGTGACTTGACCCAAAGAATTGTGAGTTCAGTACCGAGCCACAGTGGAGGTGAACAAAACTTGGAGAGTTGAGTTTTTAAAGGGAAATAACTGATACTGAAATATCTGGAAAAGGCATGACATATGGAACTAGAACAATCTACTCAGTGGATGAAATAAAGGGTTCAGTTTGAAATTCCAATCACCTCAAGAAGACAACAGTGTACAACAGCCAAAAGTGTAACAGTGACTTAGAAAGAGGAATTGATGAGTGGAGTTTGAATTCTGGCTGAATTTGAGTTTATTAGATTCACTTTCAGACAAATGCTATTAGAAAAGGCATGAACTCATCTTTCTCTAGATATAGGTTAAATAACAAGGTTGGCTACTCTCTTGTTCCTTGAGTTGAAATCCAGTCTAGAAGGAACATTGAATTGAAAACCAAGCTGAAGGAGTATGGGTTCCATCAGGTTATCCTGCCTAAGTCATACCAATGCTGCTATAGCTGCAGTATATATGGTTCCCCAATGACACTAATGGCTTATAGGACTTGTGTGATGAAATTTAGTAAAAAGTACTTAAAAAAAAAAAAATAAAATAAAATAATAAGCAACAACTTTCACTTTTTTTTCTGTTATTACAATCTCAAAATAAAAAAGTTAATTAAAAGATACAGGTTTAGTATTCAAGAAAATGTCTAAATTTTATTTAGACACAATGTTTATTTACGAAAACAATCTAGATGAAGTGCCCATTCAAATCTTCCTCCTCCAATAATAACAGAATATACTTTCTTATTGACATGACAGTCCTTGCAGGTTGTAATGTATCTTTGAAGATCTAAAAACTATCAAAACACAAGGATCTTGAAGTGGAAATCTAAAAAATGTGTCCCATGAGGACATCAATAATTCCAGTTGTAGTTGGAGCCCTTATGTTGATTGGAAAATGTTCCAATAGACTTATTGAATGGATTCCTGGTAGCCCATGCCTAAAAGAAATACAAACTATTGTACTCACAAGTGCATCTCACACATTATGTAGGGCTTTATCTATGTAAAATGTGTGTGAGTTTGTTATAACTGAATTAGTTTTGAAGATAGACAGGTTGTGCTTGAAACAATTTTCATTAAGTCGAGGCAACTTTCCTTGTTTAAACAGAAGGAATGACTTATTGGTCTTAATATAATCAGCCTTTAAATATATTATTGTTAATATATTATTAATGTGTGTATTTTCTTTTAATTGGTACAGATATTTATTTTATTACCCTCAATCAAGTTTTGATAAAGAATTTTTTGTCAATATTTTTTCTCTTATATTTTAATATCATATTTTAAATGTCTATAATTAGGCTTATTAACATTAGAATGTATTCACTATTTCAATAATTTTTCAAATAGACTGCATTACCACAAAAAGGAATTTTACCAAATGCTTCATTTTATTACTTTAAATGTTACTTTAATGGATACTCATATCTGAGTAGATGTGATGAAATTTGTGACAATGTTCTCTGCACATCCATCATTTACTGCACATGTGGTGACAGCCAAGATTAGCTGTATCTGCATATACACCAGACTTTCTTATGCTATATTTGTCCACTTGGATATGATCAAATTCAACAGAGAATAGCAACAATTGATTTTCAAAACATTCTGGTTAGGAAATAGCAACAATATGAATTCTCACTTCTTAGCCATCTGTTTTCTTTGGTTGAACTGATATCTACCTAAATGTTCGCCACCCCATTAAAGTTTTAAAGATATTCTTAAAGAATAGTGTTGTCTGGAAAAAAGCCATAAGTAAAAACTGAACTCATTACAGCAGTAATGATTTTCTGTAAGCATACTAGCCATTACTTTGTGGGAAAGCACCCTACAGGTTAGATGAGTGTGGTTAGTTTACCAATAGTTGCTTCATGGTCTAACACAGGGTTGGGTTATCAGCGACTGAAATGTTTTGCACGTTTTTTTTGTAAAGAGGGTGGCTTAAAAAACAAAAGCTGTCAAAGGGTGGATAAACCTTCCTGTATACTCATTGGACATCTAGCATAATGCAGGTAGACTGGGCTCTGTAGTTCTGTATACAACTTTGTGCTTTGATCACTAGGTCAAGGGTTTCCTAGTCTGAAGTCAACAACCAGAGCAGAGAGTTCCCCATAATGGAATCATGGGCCATGTGTTTGAGGCTTTGATTTAGAGGACATTGATTATGTTCTCAACTGGAAAAAAATGAGCTACATCAGATCTACTTTGGTCTAAGTCATGCTATACATGAATGAATACCTCTCCGGCTTTTAACCTAGATACATAGAGGGAACTGGTCTGGTGCTCAACTAAGTAATGACCTTATGATCACTTGGTCATGGGACGGATGATACTCTATGGTAAAGTGCCTTAGATGGTCCAAGAAATAGCAAGTCTGGCATAAGGCCACAAGTAAAACTGATTTCACTACAGCTGTGAGTTCATCTGTGATGTGCATGGATTTCATTGCATGTTTTGGTTTTATGCATCATACTTGCTCCACCTGTGTCTGACATGCTTCTGCAGAAAGCAAGCCTTATCTTGATCACTACATGATGGAAAAACATGCTCAATACAACAGTTATGGTTGTGCTGTGCTACACCAGCTGATCAAGCCACTCCATGTGTAATTTCATTCATAAATTCTTGCACTTTTGATTTTCAGAAATAATGATTTCTTGAATACTGTATTAATTTTTCTATTTAGAATAAGTTTTTAAAAAATAATGTTTTTTTTTGGATGGGGGGGGGAAACGAGAGAAAAAACAAATCACAAGAAATAGTATTTTTTTTTTAATTTCAATTTGAAAATAAAATTTTAAATGTTTAATTAGAGGAAAGAAAAATATAAAAAAAGATCAGAAAGAAAAGAGTATTGTTAAAAAAAATTAACTGCTTCTTAAGCAGAAATATGAGATAGAGTCATAAGTAATTTGCACCTTTGGGAACAAATTGTAATGATGAATGTATCATCCTAGTGGATTGACATAAATCTCCACAACCAATCCCAAAACCTGAGCTCAATGGAAGAAAATTAATATTGTGTGTGGTGAGATCGTTGGAGATCTTATTCATTTAGAGTTCTTGAAATGAAATACTAAATGCACATTTATACATCCAGCAGCAGCAACATGCCCATAAAGGTTTGATCGTCAAAAAGTGCTTGACAATAACAAGTTCTTGTCTGTGATGAAGCAAGGCTGCATACAGCACGAATAATACAAGAAAAAAATGTTAAAACATGGCTGGCCTGTTTTACCAACAACCCACCATGCTCACCTAATATTGTACTAACCAATCTTATATAAGGAAATGCATGTATGCTGGTCTAGAGATATGAAGATAAACCGTGTATGTAATTAAAATACATACAGAATTACAATATATACACATTTTCTATATATATATATATATATATATATATATAAAAAAAAATTACTATATATATGTATTTTCATTATAAATATAGAATTATATATGTATTTTCATTGTATATATATATATATATATATATATATATAATGAAAATACGTGTGTGTGTGTGTGTGTGTGTATATATATATATGTATTTTCATTATATATACATATATATTAGTAATATGAAATACATTGACTAAACTAAGAGATAATGGGGAATATACAGAATAAAATACAATTGTACTTTATTTTTGGGAAGGGTAAAGTTGATGAACAAAAATGGAAATTAATTACGACTCAACCTAACAAAAAAGAAAAACAAAGCAGTAAGGAAACTGAAAATATGAAAGGAAAAAAAGAATAAAATAATCTGAGAATTTAAGCAGATAAAGATGAAAGTTTAAATTGTAAATGAAAATACAAATACAAAAATAGCGTAAACTTCAGAATTGAAAGTATATTGAGAGAAAAAGAGAGGCAGAGAGAAAAAAATGTAGCTTCGGTAAATGAGTTTCTATGCCATTTCCTTTATAACTCGAAGATGTTTAGCAAGCAAGGAATACGTGTCTTGGGCAGTTCGGATCTGAGACTCAGCAAATGTTGTGAAACCATCTTGGGATGAAAACAGTCGTTCTTTAATGAATACTTTCATCTGAAAAAAAATTAAGAATGAGAAATTAAAATTTAAGAAATGGTTTTATTAAAAAAAAAAAAAAAAAAAAAGATGATCCATTTTCACATTTTTAAGACATCAGCGTCATAATTCCCATGACTAGGTGTGATTGTAGGACCTCTGCACAGCATCAGACAAGCTCCCTTCATGTGTTTCAGTTACATGCCAATATCTGATTATTTCTGAATGATTATCCAATCTACCCCGTGATATTGTCAAAAACACATTTTCCTCTGTTTGCCTCTTCTTCATTTGCCTAAAGTGGAAACATCTTGGACAGCAGTGGAAAGATGGTTGGCTCCATAGCTTTTCAATTTTTCTCTTCTTGACAGTAGATACAAGGATCTTCTAGCAGGCTGGTTTCTTGTCTGATGGTATCTCACAGTTTATTGTAATTCCCCTTGTATAATATGCATTTTTTTCTAAAAAAAATAATAAGCAGAATTAGGGGTGTGTATTATGCACAGCTACAAAAAAAATTTTTTTAAATTGCCATTTCATCGGTTGATTTCAGTTGTGAAATGTCTACTCACCACAGACATATGACAATTTGACACTAACATTTGGTGATTGCTACCCCATGGGGATGTCAAATACAATCAAATGTCCCTAACAATACTTACAAATGTAAAAAGAATTAATATTAGAATAAGTTAGAGTAATATTCTTCTATGTTTAAATCCATTTTTTTTAATAATAATAGAAAATGCTGGCCATAATGAAATTTGAGATGTAGAATTTATAGGCTTCGTTTACCAAACAAGGTGTGCATATTATGCTTGAGTAGAAGCATTTTCCCCACATTTTTACATGGGTAATTATGGTAATTTGTGATGTGGACTACAAGGGAGATGTCTAGGATGGTTCTGTAGCATCTTATTTATGTTTGAATTATTTGCAATAATTCTACTGTTAATGTCCAAGATTTGCAGACATACAGAAAGACTGAGAAGGACTAATGCATGCAGCAATCAGATTTTTGATTTCAGGCAAACATTCTTAGTTTTGCAGCAACTACCATTGTTTGTTTTGCTCTTGAAATTATTTTTATTCTGATAGGACAAATGTAGGGAAAATATTTTTTAGCCTTTTAAATAAGCACTTCTCAAAAGCGCCTGGGCTGTACAAATTATTTAACTGTAATAAAGTCAAGTTGAGCTATGGTTGTATGAGCAACCTAGGCAATATTATTAAAAGATTGAACAAAATAAATTTAAATCTAGAAGAGGATTGGAGAGGTGGAAATAAGATCCTTTGTAATTGCAGAAGAAAAAATTATTGTCCCTTAAATAGGGTATGTTGCATAGAAGGGGGTGGTATATTCTGCTGAGGTAGAAAATGACAATGGCAGTGCTTAAAAAATACATTGGTTGCACTGAAGGCCAATTTGAAAAGTGGTGGTATAATCATACCTTGTCATTTAGAACAGGTGTCAGTAACATTTTGCTATGTGCCAACAGCATATATATTTTTATACAAGTCAAGGTCACTATAACTGTTCTACAATATATTTTATATATATATATTAGATAGATAGATATTTTAGTATATATTAAAAAATTGAAACAGCTAAATATCTTCTTTGCATTGTAGTAGTTATTGGTTAAGACTTTGTGATGTCATTGGAAATTGTTTGGTGTGCCACGTGTGTCATGCATGCTGTAGGTTATCTTGTCATTTAGTAACACCCGAATGTAAGTTAAATATGAAGCTAGGAAAATACTATTGGAGATTTAGAGAGAGAAATGAAAGAAGCCCGGTTGTTAAGTGGAGTATTTTACAAAAGGTAAAGCAAATGGCAACTCATGTAGGCTATGTCAGGAGGAGAATTTGGCTATTACAACATATAAGAGTGGCACTGAGCTGTTGAATGGGAGATTCAAAATTATGTCCAAATGTAGGCATATGAGGAGGATGATGCTGGGATTGTATGAACCTGGATGATATTGGAGAAATAAATATTTTTTCCTCACTCCTCCCTGTAATAAAAGGCATGGAACAAAGTAATCCTAAATTAGGCTTTATTCCGCACTATAGAACAGTTAGTACAAGCAAAACTATTTATATGAAGGCACAGTCCATTTTGACGATAGGCAGGGTGGGATAGAAGAAATGTTCACAACAATCTCCCCTGCTTCTAGAAATAATTAGTGACAGTCAACCAATATTAAGGAAAGATTATATCCTAGCAGGATTTATTCCAATTTTAAGTATCTCCTTTATAACCTTATTCAATTTAAGGAAATCAGCAAAAGATTTACTGATAAGTTAAGCAGTCGGGAGGTCTACGCACTCGCTCCGATCCACGTAAAGGAATTTCGATTTCGTTTTCTGTCATATCTGTACTAGATTCAGTCTTGTCAGGATCTAAGGTGTCAAAGTTTTCAGTGGGTCAATCAGTCTTGTATTTCAAGAGAACAATTTTGAACGAGACCAGCAGGGGTGAGATCTCGAAGTGATACTGTGGTTTCTTTGCCATTTTGAAGATGAATGTGCGCATAGTGTGGATTGGCTTCTATAAGTTCCGCCTCTTCCACAACAGGGTCATACTTCGATTGTCTGACATGTCATCTCAAAAGAACCTTTCCTGATGTTGCTAGCCATGTTGGAATAGAATAGCCACTGGAGGTTCAATGAAGATAGTTGCATAGATGTTCATGAGGTGTAGCATTTGTAGCTGTTGAAAGTAGTGTGTGCATTGAATGTAAAGCATCTGGCAGAACATTCTCCCATTGATTTATAGGTAGGCATTGAGTATTGAGTGCCAGAGTTATTGCTTTCCACAAAACACAATTATACCTTTCACATTGCCCATTACCTCGGGGGTTATAAGGGGTGGTACAGCTAGTTGAGATTCTGTGCCCATGCAAGAAGGATTTCACCTCAGCTGACATGAAGCCGGACCCCCTTTCCGAATGCACATACATTGGCATATTGAAGATAACAAAGAGTTGAGTTAAGCACCAGATGACTGTTTGCGATGACTTATCAGGACAAGCAAAGGTAAATCAGAAGCAAGAATATTCGTCTATTAATGTAAATAGAAACCAGAGAGGAAGATGGCAGGTGTCCTTTGAAGTCAATACCGAGCCTCTCAAAAGGCATGGTTGCTTTTATTAGATGCAGAGCGTTAGGTCGGTAAAATCGACGTTTGCCTTTGGCACATATAGGGCAAGCAGTAGATATTCTCTTCACATCCTCCACAGAGAAATGAAGGCTCCTCGTCCTAACACAATGTATCATTCACATAAAACCAGGGTGACAAAGAGAGTTGTGTAATTTCTCTAGGGTGTCCAAACTTACAGCTGAAAAATAAGCTCTGGATAATGTATCTGCAGTAAAATTCTCTTCCCGGGCAGTATTTAACATCGAAACTGTAGCAGGCAAGTTCAACCCTCCACCTTTGGATTTTATCATTTTATATTTTTTCAGCCTGTTTTGAATCAAACATGAATGTCACTGATCTCTGATCCATAAGTAAAGTGAAATGTCATCCCATTAAGTAGTGCCTACATTTACGTAAGACTTCTACAATAACTTGGGCTTCCTTTTCTATAGAAGAGTGTTTACATTTGTTGGTACTCAATGTTCTTGAAAAGAAAGCTACGGGTCTACCTGATTGGTTCAATGAGGCTATGTGTGGCATGAGGTGTTGGTCACTACAGTGAAAGGAACTGTTTCACTGATAGAATACGCTACAGTGTTTTTGACTTCAGTTTTCAGGTATTCATAGGCTTTTTCAGCAGTCTTGGATAGTGGAAAATGATTAGCTTGTTTGAGAGGGGCAACTTTTTTAGAATACTTAGCAATCCATTGGGTATAGTAAGAGAACATTCCCAGCACACGATGAAGAGAATGAATATTGAAAGGAAGAGAAAGTTCTTTAAGTGGTTGAAGTCTCTCGGGATCTGGTTTAATTGTACCCTCCGATATTGTGTAGCCTAGTAGGTTCATTGTAGAGTTGGAGAAAGAGCATTTATCATGATTGTAAATTAAACTGTATTTCTTGGCAGCTTCCATAAAATTATCGAGGTTCTCATCGTGCTCTTCCTGGATCTTACCACAGATAGTTATATTGTCTAAGTAGGCAAATGCATGGGAGAGTGAATTGTCAGCTATAAACTTATTAATTATTCTTTGAAAGCAAGCTACTCCATTGGTTACTCCAAACAGTATCCTGCAAAATTCATATAACTTTCCATCTGCTTCAAAGACGGTATAAATTTTGTCTTTATCAGATATTAGGACCTGGTGGTAAGCAGATTTCAAATCTATAGTGCTATAAATTTTGTATTGTGCCACCTTGTTTACCAATTCCTCGATCTTGGGCAAAGGGTAAGCATCCAACATAGTGAACCTGTTAACTGTCTGAGAATAGTTCACCACCATCCTCTTTTTATGTAGCTTGTTAGTAGTCACTATGACCTGGGCTTGCCAAGGAGATGTGCTGAGCTCAATAATTCCTTCTGAAAGTAGTCTATTTACTTCAGAAGTAATAAATTCTTTACCTTGTTTACTGTACTTTCTAGACTTAACAGCTATTGGTTTGCAATTCTCAGTAAGCTTAGCAAAGAGTCAAGGAGGAGGAATAGAAAAGATAGTCAGTCGGTAGACATTTAAAGGGGGGTTTCTCTCCACCAAATTTCACAGATACTCTTGTGTTGCCTCATAAAGTCTTGCCCAAGGATGACAGCAGTACACAAATCAGGAAGCACAGACTATTTAAAATCAGAATATTCTCATCTCTCCACTTCCAAATTTACCAGGCAATAACCTAATGTCTGAGAGCTCAGAGAGGTCGACACCATTGACATGGTATTATTCCTTAGTCGGGTAGGCAGATGAAGTATCTGAACCAGTGATTCACATATGAAGCTCTCAGTACTCCCAGTGTCCACGAGAGCTCTGACCCTCCTCCTGTTTATTTTATCAGGGTATTTGCAGCAAACAAATCTGTAAACAATGCTGCCATCACCGCAGGATTAGAAGAGTGAAGAGTGGCGGATGTCCTGGAATGACATACTTTTGCAAAATGGCTGATTTTCCCACATCCTCGACAGGTGGTGTTCTGAGCTGGGTAGTTATGAGAAGGATACCCATGGTTTCCACAAAAGAAGCACTTTTGAGTTTTAGAAGCCACTGCGGAGGCTATGTTTTCTGTTGGGCTGTGGGAATTAACCTCAAAAGTGGCTGTAGCACTAACAACTGTTTGAGGATATAGTAGGACTCCAAACTTTTCTGACCTTGTTCAAGAGCCCTGGCTTGGTCAAAGGCAATGGCAAAGTCCAGAGTTACATTTTTGAGTAGTCCTTGTCAAATATTAGGGGACAAAAGTTCACTTATGAAGGTATCTCTTATGGCTTCAGATCTATGTTCCTAAGCACTGACTGCCTTGTTGCAATCCTCACTTAAATGCCTCAGAATTAGAACACAGTCATCTAGTGTCTCTTCTGGTTTTTGTTGCCGCATTGATAGGATATACCTGGTATAGATTTCATTCTTAGGCTTGTCATACAATTGTTGGAGTCTATTGACCGCTCTTTTGTATTCTGGACAGTCAGAAATTAATTCATACACTGAAGGGCCTATAAAGTTTAGGAGCACAGTTCATTGGGTGGGGGCATATTGTTCTATACTTTGCAGGAAATTCTCAAAGTGGCAAACCAGTGCTTCCAATCCTTTTTGGCATTCTTTGAACTGAGGAGATTTTCAAATATCTGAGGTCACAGAATTTTGTGCATATTTCTTGAGACCGAGATCGCATTACTGAAAAGTAATATCTAGAGAGTGTGGAATAAATTGTAATAAAAGACATGGAACAGAGTAACCCTAAATTAGGCTTTATTCTGCACTATAGAACAGTTAGTACAAACAAAACTATTTATGAAGGCACAATCCATTTTGAACATAGGCAAGATGGGAGAGAAGAAATGTTCATAACACTCCCCTTCATCACTTCCAGTGCTGCATTGAGATATTTAAGTTTTTGGTGTTGTTCCTAATTAGTTCACTGAGTAACCACTTGATGAGACCTTGGCGATTTAAACCATGGTGGTGTCCCATTCAGCATTTTAATCTTTTTAAGATAGTAAGTCACTCTACAGGTTTGATTTTTCTTACTTGAAATTGAGCACTTTTTAATACATACAATTTTAAAACTACTAGTTTAGTGTTTGTTTATTTTAGTGTGTGTGCGTGTATATATATATATATATATATATAATAAAGAAGTTAATGGTCAAAGTTGAATTTCATCAGGAAACAGTTGTATTGTTCAATACACATAAAAAGATAAAAAAATTCAACAAGTAGAGGTTTTAAATATAGAAAATTAGGAAATCAGCCAATTCTGCTACCTTGGCTGATTTCTTAATATATATATATATATATATATATATATATATATATATATATATTATATAACTTTTACTGGAAATGAGTATTGAAATATTAACAAAATATTACCACCTCCATTCTGAAAAAAAATTCTTTAAATTCCTAAACCATAAAATACTCCATAAGAGATTTTGGGAAAATGAAGGAAAAAAAAAATTGGTTTATGAATGTCCAGAAATCAGGCTATTATCTTCATCTTTGCTATTATTATCACAACAGGTAAATCATTGTCCCTTCTGACCTTCTTCAGGTATTGTCAGACTGGTCAATCTTCAAGGAATTTTTAACTAAACCCTTTATTTAATTTACTGGGGTAGACTCCATCTCTAGGGATGGCTCATTTCTTATTTCCTACTACTGAATTATTGCTCTCCCTGTTTCCACCGAGTCAAAGTCTACACTATGCAGCCTATGGATTGAACTTAATTACTATGTCACCAAATTTGCAAACTAATGCTGACACATAGGACAATCCTTTTGTCTAGAGCTTGGAGCATTAAGCTTAATATACTTTTTACTTGCTTACTGTTGTCACATTTGGCTGCATTCATTGAAAATTCTTTTCATATCGCTGCTGTTAAAAACTTACTGTTAAGTATCTTTATTTATTAATGGCTCCCATGCTGTATTTATTTCAATGTTACACTTATTGAGGAGGACTCCATAGCCTAGAATAGTTCAATCAGTGGGTAAGATAGTGCAGATTTAGATAGTGGAAACAGGAATACCAATAACTGAGTATTACTAAATAAGAACAAGAGATATCCTTAGACACAGACAGTGAAACAAGAACAATCTCTCCCCATAGATTAAATAAAGAGTTCAGTTTGAAATTCCCTGAAGGCTAGCCTAGATCAAAAAACTGGTAAAGAAGGACAGAGGATACAATGTTTGAAATGCTGTGATAACAATTCTAGTCAAAGTGTAAATAATGTACATTCTTACAATTAATTACAAACATATATATAAATAATTACCTCTTTCCTTGCCACTTCTGAACAATCATCATACAATTTCCATGCATTGTCTCTCGCTTCCTCAGCCTGTAATGATAAAAAGTTTTTTTATTTAAATTTCTCACAATTTTTAATTTATATGAATTGGTAGCCAAGAAGGAAATTAACACTAACCACAGCACCTTGTCAGTCATTTTCAACAAAATTGCATAAAAGAGGGATTGCTGCCCAAATATACATTACATATATATCTCATGATTATAATCATGAACTATAGGGACAAAGGATTGGTAATTCTTGCACCGAGGCCATTAATGTCTACTGGATGAGAAATTTAGCCCAGTTGAAAAAAAAAAAAAAAAAAAAAAAATATTATTCCGAATCAAGCACTAATTAACATTGTAGAGATTTTATCCTTTCCAATCCACTGCATTTTGAATTAAACATTGTCATATATAACCAACTTTTCATCACCTGTTAACTCATAGTGAATATGAAATTGATAGAATTTGTGAGATGAGGATTTAACAATATTTATACATTTGAACTTTTATCCTAATCTTTGTTATTATTACAACATTTCAGCCATTGTACTCTCAGGCCTTCTTCAGAGGTAAACTTCAGAGAAATTGAACCCTTTATTAAATCTATGGGTACAGATTTTTCTTGTTCCATTGCCTACATCTAAGGATATGTTGTTCTTATTTAACATAGAAATAAAGACAATGAAATCAGTAATAAAGAATGAAAGTAAAATGACAACAAGGCTTCAACAACAGCAGCAGATGTAAGAAAAGTGAAGCCATAGTGAATGCAAAGTGTGATAGCAGAAGTGGTAGGCAGGCAAAAAGAACATTAGGTTTACAACTCCAAGTTATAGGCTCAGCATTTTCCCACGGGGAAAATAACCTAGTGGATTGGTCAGTTTGTGAATTTAGTAATATAGTAAGTGTGAGTTGGTGTGGGTTGGGTAGTGTTGACTTAGTGGAGACAGGTTAGCAGTACTAAATAAAAACAAGATGAGATATCCTTACATATGGACAGCAGAACAAGAACAATCTATTCTCATAGATCAAATAAAGGATTCAGTTCAGAATTCCTTGAAGGTTACCCAGAATAACAGGCAATGGCTGAAATGTGACAATAATGAAGAACAATAGTCTGTAAATAATGAATTTTGATTTAATAACAAAATTTGTAATTTTGTTCCAAAAAGAGTAAATAATTTTTAGTTATATATTTTTTAATTTAAGTGAAGTCAACTGAAAGCCTTTACATACAAATAATTTTTAAATAACATTAAAAAGAAATAATGTTAAAAATAAGTCTAAAATAACATTAAAGTAATATAAAAATAATTTTAATAAAAAAAAACTTACCAGTTGACGTTTTTGAGGTTTAGCTTTTTCCAGCATTCTGTTTGCATCTTCATAATCAACGAGGAGACATGTACGACGAAACAGCATCTCCTGTTTAAATGGTAGAGAAAAAAATAATTTTCAAATAATTTATCTTCATTTGCAGACATGAAACACCATAAAAGTATTTTCATATATTAACACTCATGAATGCTACAAAATTTGTATTTTTGCATAAAAACAATTTCTTTTTCCTGTTATAGCATATATATATATATATATATATACACTAAACTAATTGAGTTTCTTTTTTTCCAGATGTTTAGCCAGCTTCATGTCATTCCTTGTTAGAATCAATGAAACATCCTTTGAATTATTCAGCTAGAAAGAGAACAGGTTAAAATTGCTTTGTGTCAGCCCCACTGTCTTCCCAAATGAGCAATGGTAAGAGGAAAAAGATCATTCAGGCCTTCAGTAATGGTAACAACGTTCATACTTAGGCTTCCATCTTCAAAGTCCATTCAAGTATCATCAAGAGAATGGTGAATAAGTTTAAAAAAGAGGGAACAGTAGAGAGGAAAACTGGATCAGGAGGTTGCAACAGAAAGAGGGATCATCATTTCACCTTGGAGATAAAGAGATCAATTAGAAAAGATCCAACTCAATCCATAAGACGTTTTGCATGAGAGAGAGGAGTTTCAGTTATGACAGTCCAACGAGCAGTGAAAAAAAGACTGGAAAATGAAATCATACATGAAATCTGTGAGGCACCTTGTTACTCCAGGACACAAAGTTAGAAGGTTAGAGAGGGTGAAAGATCATCTTGAATAAGTTGGAAAATAATCCTGGAATAATATATATATTTGCACTTAATTTCAATCATTCATGAGCTTCTGATCCTTAGCTATGATTAATTAATGATGAACATGTCATTTTCATTTATTATCAATTTCATCACGATTCTTCTGTTAAGCTTGGAGAGTAATTATACATTCTTATTGCTCAAAGTAGAGTCCAATAGTGTTATAAAAACTTCAGAGAATTTCAGCAAGATATCTTTAATCATTTCTAAGATACAATGGTTCAAAGCTTAATCTAACAAATGGACAATTTTGCTTTTACATGATTTGGACAATTTTGTTATTACACCTGGTGTATATATTCTGATGTTATCAGACTGGAGGGGTCGATTCCAGCATGAGGTACCTTTGGAAAGTGTCTGAAAGCCATACTACGAGTTGACTCAAGTCTTGTGAGGGAAACTGGATAGATGAAACCCTTAGAGTTCCTTCAATAGCTGTGCTAGCATGAAGGCCTTGTTGAAATTGTTGATCATGCTAGATAACACACTCTTTCCTAGAAATTGCAACTAAGGTCTGCTCAGCATAGTTGCAGTATAAGCCACAGGTGGTTTCTCTGGGTGTTGAATAAAAATGAAAACAAAATTTTATCATCTAAATGTTTATGTTATTATTAAGAGGAAAGACCAAAGTTTTTTAAAATTATTTTTAAAAATTTTTCCTTCTTTTTAGAACATTCTAAACCTTGTTTCTCTTTGTATCACCAGAACTAGTAAAATATTATATACAATTTTTAGCATATTTTTTTTTGTATGACAGACATTAATTTGGAAAATCTTGCAAAAATAAAAATAATTGTCAGATGTTAATGAAACTTTCAGAAACTATTCACAGATGATGGAAATTGTTTTTTTTGTTAAAGTCATGGCAGAAATTTTTTTTATTTTTATTAAATTTTTAACTAATTTTATTTTAAATTTAGAAATTCAATGCATTCAGTTTAGTGATTATATTAGTTAAAAGCAATTGAAAGGCTTTGAGGAAAGCAAATTTATGTTTTTTTTTTTTCTTAATTGGACCCCCTCTACCTGAAAACCAGCCCTGAATTGTAATATACAAAACTCAAAAAAAAAAAAAAATATTATTTAATTTCAAATGCTTTTATTTGGTTTTAGTTGTTTTTTAATAATATGGACAATATTTTCTGAAAGCAAAAATTTTTTTTATGAAAAATGAATTTTTAATATAATTATTTATTTCTTTAATTATTTTAGATTTTACATTTAAATTGTTAAAATATTATAAAATTAGTTGAAAGCTTGAACTTTCACTTTAAAATGTCCTTATTAGATAGATCATTTTTTATGCGCTTTGTAAATTGTATCGCTTCATCCAATCAGAAGACCCAAATGAATTAAGGAATGTAATTTTGTGTTCATAAAAATCATTAAAATGGCTGTAATTAAAAAGGAAGAAGGTCAAAAATGAAATTAAAACATCACGTGGCTTGAAGTGTAAGTGTTCTCCACTGAACATCCATTTCATTATTGCCTAAATTCTTCTGTGAAACGCATTTTGAATTAGTGTTTTACTAATTAAAAAAATTTGAACACCATCCTAAATATTTTCAGCAGCAACATTACTACATTTTTAAAAGTACCATTTATTTCATTTTACATATTTCATTGCAATTTCAATTTTGTGAAGTTGTTTTACACAGTTTTCAGTGAGTCGTCTTATTTCAATTTTTTCTATTACCATGCTTTTTTTTTTACTGAAATTAAAGTAAATACCATTTGAATGAAAAGAGTTTTTAATTTTTTTTGATATGAATACTTTTTTCAATATATTTTTGAATTTGATAATTGTATTCATTGAGATTTTAATTCATTTCATTTACATAGCAAAGAAAACATTCCTAGATAAATTAAAATTTTTTTTTTTTTCATCATCCATTTATTTATCAAAATACCACTATAAATTTTATTGTATTCCTATTTTTTTTTTTTTTTTTTCAAGGAATATTTACAGTGCTTTGTGATTCATACTTCGCTCATTATTAGTTTCTGTTTCAATTCTAGAACTGAAACCCAATGATGACATTGTTTCTTCATTCAATTTATTCAAGTATTAATTATTAATCTCAGTTATGACATTTTTTCATAAATGAAATATCAAAATTAATAATAAAATGAATGGAAATACAAATAACACAGTAAAATGTAATAAATGTACATAAAATTATAGTATTGAAAATTGTTGGTATTTATCTGATAAAAATTCATAAGAAAAAAATACCTATAAATTAGATACCTTTCTTATAAAATTTAATCTCACTTTAAACAGTCTTATTTTTAATTTCTTTATATATATTTTCCATAAAGCATTGTAAATGTAAATTAGTGAAAAAAAAAAAATGAGGTAAATAATTTGTTCACTTAAATCTAAAAATTTCACTCTCTCCCTGTCAGAGAAAAATTTATCCTCATTATAAATTGTCAAAACATGATGAAATTGTCATTAGTCACCTGTCAAGATTTAAAAAAAATGTTAATTTTGCTTTGTTTTATTTTCAAACTACATCTTTTTTTATTTTGAAACTAATGAAAGCTTTGTTTGTAAAATATTTTAAATAAACATTATAATTTCTTTTTTCTTAAAATTTAAGTTTTGAAAAAATTAAATTGATTTTTAAAAAAATTTCAAACTGATGATTTTCAATTTTTTTTAAATGGAAAAAAAAAATTTTGAATCATGATTGATTATCTGTCAAACCCAAAAACTAAAAAACGATTTTTAATTAAATTTTGGAGATGCTAGGATATGAAATTTAAAAAATGTAAAAAAATACCCCTAAAATACTTTGATTAATTCTCTTAATAATAACAAACATTTAGATGATAAAATTTTGTTTTTGTCTAGTTTGGATAAAACTTTTGTCATTCGCTATGTTCTTTTTTTAATGATCTCATGGAAAAACCTAATATATATATATATATATATATATATATATATATATATATATATATATATATATATGTGTGTGTGTGTGTATTTAAGACATTTTTTTTATTGATACATGTTTCATCAAATAATATAGACAAGTATTGTCTATTTATTTTATGTAAATTCTTTTCATATCGTCTGATAAGTTTTAATAACATTATCATTAAACAAAGAAAGAAAATCACTATGTATACATATTTTTTAATCCTATCTAAGCTTTTAGTAAAATAAGTCATTATCAAAGATGACAATTTACATTACAATATATTAAGAATACATGAACAAGACAGTGATGATAGTTTGTTTCTGTTTAATGATGGAAGTTTTAAAAAACGACAAACTCATGCATATAAGATATGAATTAAAAATTGCACCAAGCTCATGATGTGTCACATGACCATGCGAAAAAATTCAAAAATTTTAATTTAAAATTTGTTGGTATAAACCAATGGCTTCTGTTACCAATTATAGGCATTTAAGAATATTTGTGGAGAATTTCATAGTTTATTTTGTTCAGGTTAGGTTTCAACTGTTTTTATATATAATTCAAAAATTTTTTAGTTTTTTTTTGTTGTTGTTTTCATGTTTAAGCATAGTTGTGTTTTTTGAAATTTTTCCAGAATTGTGTATCAATTCAGGCATGTTGTTTTAAATGCCTTTTTCAAAATGTTGAAGATGACAGTTGTATGGTTTGAACTGAAACCATTGCCAAAATCTCAACTGATAAAGCAGGATTTTTCTTCAAGGGCTGCTTCAAGAAGCTTTTCATCAAACTCAACTGGACGTCCGGTTCAATCTTCATCTTTAAAGGTGAAATTTCCACCCTGAATTTTGCAAACCATCTTCTGCAAGTTCTTTCATTCACATTATTCCTCTCCATAAACTGAGTGAATGTTTCTAGCCAGCTTTAAAAAAGATATTGTTTTTTTAATTGAACTCATAAAGCATTATGTGCCTCAAATGATTCTTGGGTACTTTCATGTTAGCAGGGTTTTAATCAAACAAAATTTAATTTTATTGTTCTCTGAAATAAAATTTGATCAGTTTAAATGCATCTAAACATAAAATAAAAAGTTCAGCTCCATTAGACATTATAAAATAAAAAAATAAATTTCATGTTCATTTTAACAAAAAATTAAAATTTAGAGAAACTTATGGGATGACCTGATATATTTACACATTACCATCTTAAATTAGACTTGTATCCTGATCCGCCAAAAAAGCAATTTAAAAATTTTTTTAAATTTTGAATCCCTGTCCCCCCTTTGAAATTTTAAGCCATATAATACTATTTAGCTTTCAAAAAATTTTTTTTTTTTTTTTTATTTCAACATCACTTGAGAATAGAACAAAAAATTTAATTTAGAAATATGGTAATTTAATTTCTGTGTCATGATGAATACATATTCTTAAATAATAATATTATAATATTATGCTCTACTGTATATTATAAATCTGATGGTTCTATATATATATATATATATATATATATATATATTTTAATTTTAATAAAAATACATTTATCTATAGTTATCCATTTGATTTGATATATATATATATATATATATATATATATATATATATATATATATATATATATACTAGCAGTAGAGCCCGGCGTTGCCCGGGGATATAACAGTAAGAGATAGATCAAGTATCCACCATCATAAAGACTGAAAAATAAAATTGACAAAGATTATTGTTTAAGGTTGACGGACACTCATGTCTTAATTATTTTTTTTTTTTTTTTTTTTTTTTTTTAAAATTGGTCAAACCCAAACTCAAACAAAAACATTGTTTTCAATCGTTATGAGTCTCTACCGATTGAATAGAATTTTTTTATAAACAATTGTCTTGTAAATGGAATTTTTAAAGCATTCTGAATGTAAAAATAAAGAAAAAAGTGTGCAAGACAATAAGAAACACTACATGCCAAAAAAAAAAAAAAAAAAAAAAAGTGAAGTTTTGTTGAAATCGGTTGAAAAATGTAGGTAGCCTTTCTGTAATCTTTTAGTTTTACAATTTATGATTTTTACTTATTGAATACAGTAAAAAAATTGCATATTTTGCTTGTGGTGATTCATAATTAGAATTCTGATTTGAATATATTTTCCACTCGTTGTTTCTAATACAAAAAATATTAACTTTATTTGAGTTTATTAATTATGATCTAACAAATCTTATTCATTTAGTAGCCTTTCTGTAATAATAATCTTTTTTACAATTTATGATTTTTTACTTATTGAATACAGTAAAAAATTGGACACCATGTGTATTTAAAGTAGTTTCCCATTCTTTATATTATTTTTAGTTAGGACTTGTGTATGTTTAGATTTCATTATCTTTCCCTAAAGATAAAGAATTTATTCCGATGTTTGTATTCGTACAATCAGTAGAGATCGTTAGATTATTGTTTAAGGTTGACGGACACGCATGTCTTAATTAGTTTTTTTTTTTTTTTTTTTTACGAATTGGTCAAACCCAAACTCAAACAAAAACATTGTTTTCAATCGTTATGAGTCTCCCAATTGAATAGAATTTTATTATAAATAATTGTCTTGTAAATGGAATTTTTAAAGCATTCTGAATGTTAAAAATAAAGAAAAAAGTGTGCAAGAGAATAAGAAACACTACCTGCCAAAAAAAAAAAAAAAAAAAAAGTGAAGTTTTGTTTTATCGGCTGAAAAATATAGGAAATCCGATCCCATATTTAAAGGAACCCACACACACAAACAACCCGATGTGAGTTGTCCCCCTTCCATTTTCACGATGTCTCTTAATCGTGTTTTCAAATTGATTTTGTGCAAAAAAATTATATTTTTCCCATTTTTGGCGCTGTTAGAACCACCACAAGGTAATTTTATGTAGTCCTGTGAAGTTTTGTTGAAATCGGTTGAAAAAATGTAGGAAATCCGATCCAATATATAAACGTTACAGACACACACACACACACACAATCTGCACACATAATAAGTAAGATATATATATATATATATATATATATATATATATATATGTGCATAGAAGCATTATTTTTTTTCAAATTGTATATATGAAAGAAATAGTTTATATATATATATATATATATATATATATAAATATATATATATGGAACTGAATTAGAATAAATTAGATAAATATATTAGGTGGATGTAAAAATTTAAAGTATTCAGTTTAAAAAATGATTTTACCCTCAAACTAATAACTTCACATTTCTTTTTGATGTTTTATTCTCACCTGTTGTATTATTGTTTTGTTTGTTGGTGACTAAACTAGTTTCATCATCAGATTTTTCAGGAGGAGGGCAGCTGAATACCCATTAGGATTAAAAGCAAAACCTGTCAAAAGGTAGATGAACCTCCTTGTAGGATCAACAAGCATTTAGCACACTGGGGTAGATTGTGATCTTTTAGTTATGTATTCAGCCAATATAGTGGGGAGCTACCTAGACTGAAGCTGACAGACCAGCAGATTACCCCAAGGGAATTAGCAGTCAATTGTCTGTGAGCAAATTTAGCCCTCAAGTTGAAGGACATTGACTGTTGTTTGCCAGGAGAGGGATGGACTCTGCCAGGTCTACTTTGCCCAAGACATACTCTACACATTAATGAATGCCTCTCTGACTTTCAACCCAGATATGTGGAGAGCACTGGTCATGTGCTCAGCTCTGCAGTGACTATGACCACACCCATTTTTAGCCAGGGTAAGCATAAGTATCGTTGTTCATCTTTATAAGCAAATTGAAAGAATCATACTCACCTTTACTGATTCCATGTATCTTGCATAGAGATCCAAGTGGAAACCAAGTGTCTTCTCATCATTGGCACTTAGCACTTCAAGTTCATGCTGAAAGTGAAAAAAATGTAATTGTGATAATTAAAATCTGACTAACATAAAACCACTGACTGAGAACTATTTAGCCTCATTTACCACTTTTCCTTTCCAGTGGGTACTACCTTCAAGGCCAGCTCAAAGCTCCACTCATAACCCTTGCTGCAGAAGACCTGTACCAGTCCTGAACCAGAGATTTCTTGTTCCTTGTGGGAACAAGCAGAGAAATCTCTCTTCAAAACATCTGTTCAAGAGAAGAAAGCTGTTAACTGGGAAACCCAATGTATTTTCTGCCGCAAAATATCACTATTTTGCATGCACTTTCAACTACAAATAAAAGCTGTTAAACAGTTATTTTGAGCCATGAGTTTGTTTGGTCCACTCTATACACTATTGAGTGTGTGCATGCAACTGGTAAAATTCAAACAACACATAAGAAAAGGAAGCTTGAAATAATTGACACTGACAAGATATATTGAAGGCAAGAGACAAACTCTAAGTAACCTATTTAATATTGTGTTAATGGATGCCAGAAAAGGGACAATGAAAGAGAGTAAAAAAAATAATAAACTAAACAAATTTTATTTGATAACCTGTATTTATTACAGAAAAGTAACATGGACAAATAATATTAAGTTTTCAAATCTTGAATTAGAGAACACACTTAAAACATTCTAAAAACTGTGTAAAGGTAAACTGAGGAGGACATAGAGTATTATGTATTTTATTTATTTATTAATAAATTTATTTTTAAGAAGGTCATGAATGAACAGTTTTCTTTTAATTTAAAAAAAAATATGGTTATGTAGGTTGGCTTGAGAAAAGATCAGTCTTTTGAGAAAGGAAATATTGGAGAAGATTCAGGGCATCTATATAAATAAAGCATTGTGTATGTGTGCCTGTCTGTACGTTTTTTGATCTTGAATCATAAACAACCTAAAGTAACAGGTAGTAACTACTGTAGTTACATGTGATTAAAAATTAAATAACTCATTTAAAGTTAAATTTAAATATTGAACAGAGTGAAAGGTTTAAAAAACAATTCTTATTAAAGGACTAATTTTGCTTTTCAGTGCAATGCAATTAATATTGTCTAATTAAACTGTAGTTAAAACTTAAATGGGAGGCTATATGTTGCTTATGTTTTTTTTTCTTTTTCTAGGATGTACACTGAATATTTGAAATATTACATAGTTTGAGTTCCCTAATGTCTTTTAAGAGTGACTTTATGTGAAGGGTTCATAAAGAATGGTGATTTTAAAAGAAAATAAAAAATTGTGCATAAAATAAATTTTGGTGTATAAAAACTGGATTTTTATTTGTGTATACAAAAAAGAAAGATTATATTAATTAATTAATTTGTCAATAAAGATAAAATAATTTTATTATTTCTAAATTCTTGTAACTTTTATGTACATAGGATGCTGAAGGTAAAAGGCCGAATGTCCAAAAATCCTCCACAGGAGATAGCCTAAAGTCTGCCTGAAGGGTGACTTCTAGGCTAGTAAATAATATTTTGGCAAGAATCAATGATTGCACTTTCAAAAAATTTTTTCCCATAAAGTTATTTTTTTTTTTAATAAATATACCATCCTTGAGACTGTATACACTTTGCTTATTCTTTATCTTATCATTTTATTGGATTCTGATCCATATTTGATCTACATTTGACCCTCAAACTTATAATTTTACTCAGTATTATTGTCTCTCGTTTCTCCAACACCACATAATGAGCAGATAATAAATAATACTCATTTTGCTGTTTCCACATCTCGCAGTTTCTCAACTCCCCTTAATTGTTTCAAGGAAACTTTATTAAATTGAAGAAAGAAGTCATAAAACAAAAATAACTTACTTTGGCATCGTCCAAACTGAGACTTAAGTTCGTTAAAATCCTGAAACAAAATTTTACAGAAATTATTTTAGTGATAAATTATAATTTAACATTTTATTTTTCAAATATAAGATATATATTCATTTATATCCGGCTATCTGGGTAAAAACTCTGAAATGAATTCATTTCTGTGCAGTGTTTCTTGAGTAAAAGTAGACCTGATGGAACCCACACTTCTCTAGATCAAACCACAGCCAATATCATCCAAATTGAAGCATCAACTTAGTCATGGAATCCATCTGGATGGAACCCTCCACTCTGGCAGAGGGTTTCTGACATTGAAATCAACGGCCATGGTGGAGTGTTCCTCTCTGGATAGAATCAATGGCCATGTATCTGATTCTTCAAATTGGAGGATATCAGTTGTCATTTGATCTGGAGGAGAATGAGCTCTGCCAGGTCTACTGTGCTCAAGACACACTACAAATAAATGAATACCTCTCGAGCTATTTACACTATTTACATGGTTTGGACTGTTGTCCTCATCTTTTTTGTCATATTCACAATGTTTCAGCCATTGTACACTCTGTCCTTCTTCAGGATCTGTCTATATTTCTGAGATTAGGTATTGTAACTATTTACATTGTTCAGACTTGTCTTCATATGTGTTGTCATATTCATAATGTTTCAGCCATTGTATGCTCCAGCCTTCTTCAGGTGATATATGCTGGAATTTACCCCAGTAGGCTAAATAAAGGGTTCAGTTTGAAATTCCAACATATATCACCTGAAGAAGACTAGAGTGTACAACAGCTGAAACATTTTGAATATAACAATAAAGATGAGGACAACAATCCAAACAATGTAAATAGTTACAATACCTCATCTCAGAAATAGACAGACCTCTCTATCTTTCAAACCATATGCGGAGGGAAGTGGACAAGTGCTCAGCTGTGAAATGAACCTACAAACACACCTATAGTCATGAGAATGATTATGATGATTATGGAGTTCAATTGATTTTACTCTATTAAAAGTAAGTAAATATGTTTCTTACTTGTTTACTTTCATTGATTCTTCATCCTTATAAAGTCCAGTTTGTGTAAGAGCAGTAGACAGGTGACAGTAACAGCCAGCAACTCCTACATAAATAAACAAGAAATTACAACAGTAAGTAGATATCTAGAACAACAGTTTAGAAATATTTCAGCAAAAATTATTTATGTTATCCACCAGTAATAAAAATGTTATATCCTAGCATCCTCATCCTTCTTGTTATAATTCCAATGTTTTCACCATCAACTCATCCATTATTCTTCCAGTGTCTACCATTTCAGGTAAACCTCAGGGAATTCCTAACTGAATTAATCTACAGAGGTAGAGTGTTCTCATTTTGCTGTCGATGTCTCAGGATATCTTGTCTTGTTCTTATTTAGTACTAGTGGGGATACCTGGCGTTGCTCAGAATAATAGTTTATTATTAACAATTCATTGATATTTTTCAACCATCTGTGGAAAATAATTTTTTATTCAATCTTTAAAAAAACTTCATTGTTTTTTTAGTTTTTTTTTTTTTTTTTGAGTGTTACAAAATAATTAAGTTTAGGAAAATACCACACTATCAATATTACGCTTGAGGGCGGGGCTTAGGGGGCTGAGCATATCCATATTTTTATTCAAAAAGACACTTTATTTTTCGAATTAAATACTAACATAAATACTCTGTTAATGTTGTTTCCAAACAAATCAAATTATTTCTCTAAGTTCATTAACCTTTTCTTCAAACTATTTTTAATAAAAAAAGTAAAACTAAAATTAAGATATATTTAAACATATTTAATTTAATAATTTTTTTCAAGCAAAAACTATAGTGAGCCTTACTTCTTTGAAAAATAATTATTTACTATTTATTTTGGAGGTGAATTTAGATTTTTTTTAAGTAAATAAAGATTACATTTGTGATTATTTTTTTAAAGAAAGTGAAAGAAGCAAATATTTCTCCAAAAATGAATTAAATTACAGTTTTGAAAGAGCAGAAGTAAGATACATTGAGAATTTAGTTTTGAAAATCGATTATGTTTAAATTTCAAGTTATACTTGTATTTAAAAAAAAAAAAAAAAAAAAAAATTAGTTAAATAAAGATTAGGACAGACAAACATGAGTTATGGTCAACATTAGTCATGTTGAGTATTTGTTTGATGAATTTAACTATATTTTATTTGAATTAATTTTTTAAATAACGTTCGCTTTAGCTTTTTGCTTTAATAAAAATTTAATTTAAAATTTACTTTTTTGTTAGTTACAAACCAAAAAAAAAACAAAAAAACAATGAAATTTTTTTTTAAGGATTGAATAAAAAAAATATTTTCCATAAAAGGGTAAAAAAAATATTAATAAAATTAAATTTCATTTAAATTTACTTTGTTGTTTTAATATTCATTTTTTTAAAGTTATACTTTTATTTACTATAGACATGGAAATAAATTCCAGAGAATAGAAATTTTTAAAATACATATAGCATTTCGAAATTATCAGAATTAAAATGTAAATACGAATGGGATAAGAATTATTCCTGTTCAACTTTTTAATTCAGAGAATTTTGAATGCATTCTAATGCAATTATTATGTATTTTTAATTTTAAAATATCTTCATAAATATAAAACATATGATAATTTTTTTACAAAAAGGTGGGTTGAGTGACACTAAGCCTGTATATATATTTATTTTGTCATTAATTATTGTAGTTTTTTTAGTTTTAGCTGACCCCCCCCACACACACACACAAACAACTGCTCATTATATATGTATAAATTGCTTACTTATTGCTTCAAGGAGACAATATCCTAGTGGGTGGTTTGTGAATTTGATGACAATTGTGAGTTCAATTCCTGGGCCAGATAGCACAGACTTAGATTCAGTGGAAAAAATAAAACAATAACTGAGAACTAAGTACTAAATAAGAACAAGATGTCCCTAATAGCATCTGAAGAAAGCCAAAGGTTACAACAACCAAAAAGATGTGATGATAACAAAGATGATGACAATAGTTCGGATGTAATTAATGTAAATAATGGTAACTCATCATCCAAGAAAATGTCTGGACTGTTATCCTCATCTTTGTTATCATATTCACGACATGACAGCCATTGCATGTTCTGGCCTTCTTCAGGTGATTAGAATTTCTAACTGAACCCTTTATTTTGTCCCCTTTATTTATCCAGTGGATAAAAGCGTTAAAGTAATCCAGTAACTTGATCCAAAGAGTTGTGAGTTTAATAGCTGGCCACAGGAGAGGTGAACAAAAACTTAGAGAGTTGAATGAAAGGGAAATAACTTAAACTGAGATATCTAGAAGAGGCATGGCATGTGGAACTAGAACAATCTACGCCAGTAGCCAAAATAAAGGGTTCAGTTAGAAATTCCAATCACTTGAAGAAGACCAGAGCGTACAATGGCTGAACTGTCACGAATATGACAACAAAGATGAAAACAACAGTTCAAATAGTGTAAATATTATTTTAATTTTTTTTTGTTGTTTTTAACATATTTTGAGTCGGTATATTTTTGCCTTCATGTGTATACTGCAGTTAGTCTTTAACAATTGCTTAGTACATTTTCTCTTTTATTATAGTCTAACATGATGTAAAAAAAAAAAAAAAATATCTAATCTTATGGATTCAACTTTTTTTGTTGATCTCTGGATGACTTATTAGTCATGTGATTGTCAATAATAATTAATGAATCTAGTTTCTGATTCAATACAAAAACCAGGAAAAAATTGAAAAATAAGTGTTTTAGCAGTTAAGGTCTCCCATATCAACAATTAATGCAAGACATTGACAAAATTTTTACAGTCCTATAACTGGGTAAATTTTAAAGATAGTTGTCAGTGATAACCACTAACTTTTCTTCACATATTTAAGTGTATTCATTCATCTATAGCAGGTCTTGAGTAAGTAAACCTGAAAGAGTGCAACCCTCTCCAGATCAAACACAACATAGTTGATGTCCTCCAACTTCAAGGCTGAGATACTTAGCTCTTGAATCAATTTAAAGGGGAACCCTTACCCCTGGTCATTAATTTTAGTTTATTGGCCTTACCCTTAAAAATATCACTTGTTTTTATTTATGGAGTTTAGTCTACTCCATTATTTTGAATCTATAATACAAATTCTATGACTAACAAAGGCATTGTTGAAACACTCTCCCAAAAAAAAAAATTATTGTAGGGAAACTGTAGTCACCATATTAAATAGAGATTAAACAGGTTATATCTTCCATAATAAATGTTTATTTTAAATATTTATCAAACTAATGCATTTAGGCAATATCTTTGAAAAAAAACATGACAGACTACTGAAATTTATTAAAATCAATAGAACAGAAAAATATATATATATGTATAAATATATTGCAAAATTTTATAATATGAAAAAATATTTCTTTTAGAAATTGTAAATAATAAAAATACTAGAGGAACATGAAGACAAATGGATTTTTTTCATTAAAACAATTGTTTAATCCAGAAAAATGCTTAATCAAATTAATGCTCTTAACAACATAAATAGAATATATAACCCCATTGTTTTTTTTTTATTTATTTGTACACATTTGTTCTTTTCTTTCTCAGATGACATAATTGCTTTTATATGTTGAGGTTATACACACATATACTAATATTTATGCAATTCCATACTGAAAAGAATCCCAAAGAACTAAAACTTAATATGATAATCCCATTTCTAGCAACCAATAAAACTTTTTGACCATGGACAGAATTCTTCATTATCTGTCTATATTTTCTAAATGTTTTTTTATTTACACTATTTACATTATTGTTGAACTATTGACCTCCTCTTTGTTGCCATATTTATTACAACAATATTCGGCAATATTCTTGAGGCTTCTTGAAAAAAATACTTTCAAAAATAAAACCAAATATGTCACTCACTGGGGTAGACTGTTCTATTTCCAATAACTTTTAGCATCAGTTATCAGTTATCTCCTGTTAATTGTCCCTCTCCACTGCCTTAACCAGATATTGAACTCACACTCTTTGGGTCCTGTCACTGGATCTAACTAATGCCTTTATCCACTGTACCTTGTGTCCTTGAGGACATCTGGGTATGAATTTCTGGGTATTATAAACCTAATGTCATCAGCAGTACTCATATTGCAATTTCTGCTGTTATCATTTTATGCTTTTACCAGAGCTCATATTGCAATTTTTGTTGTTATTATTGCTTTTCTCAGACACTCCTTATTACAGGTTCCCATATTGTATTCATTTCTATGCTTGGTTGGCTCAGGAGATTTTTTGTGGCCTAGCATGTGTGCGGATTCCTTAAGTTTACGAATTTTCCAATGATGTTCTTTGTCTATGATCTCAACCTGATCCTGCAGAGATGACCTCCATTTTCTCTCCATATGTGGTCAGCCACGCCTCATTTTTCCACTTCTCATGTTACAGCTTTCTGGTGTTCTTGAAGCCTTACCTTAAGGGGGCGGCCTGTCTCTCCTTTATATTTCTTTCTGCAACTGCACGGGATAGCATACACACAGTCTTTAGTCCTGTTCTCCTCTATGGGAGGTCTTATTTGGGAGAGATATCTGAAGTGTCATCTAGCTTTTGAAGGTTGTCTTTATGTTATATGGATCGCAGATCCTTTGTATTTTCTCTGATAACTCCTTCAAATAAGACAGGCAGACTGTTTTCTGAGAGTTGTTGTCCTCCTCCTCTTGTACCCGCCTATCCCAGTTTTTTGGGGCTGCTACCATGTACCCAGGGTAGTTGTTGCATTGTAGGGTACTACTTATACTGACCAATTCTTTATCTAATGTCTCTAGGTCACCACTTATGACTTTTGCTCGGTGTTGTAAGCAATGAACGATGCCTTTCTTTATGCTGTATGGATAGTGGGAAAAAAATTGATTTTACTGTCCAGTGAATATTGGTTTACGGTATACGGATGTCTTGAACTCATGCTCTGTGTCATCCCATTCCGAAGTGTGTTTGTGTACAGAAAGTCAACATTCAGTCAGATTATCTATTGGAATACTGGTCTGTTCTTCTAGGGATGAGTCAGAGGCCAATCTGTCTTTGATTACTGACAGTGCCTCCTCTGTGGGTACCTTGGTATCCAAGCTCACCATTTGGTTGGATAGGATGGGAGCATCTTTGACTATTTCCACAAAGTGGGTGGAGTTTCGGACATATAAAGGAGACTTTCCAATCAATGGGTCAATTATATCTACAAGGAAGCAACTCAGAGGGTGGCACATCAGACACTTGGCAACTAACAATTGTCAATAAATACCATAATTTTAAAAAAATATATATTCAGTCTATATATATCTATATATATATATATATATATATATTAGGGTGTGCAACTTAATATTATATCATAAAGAAACAATTTATACAAAATTTGGCAAATAGCAATGTTAATGTGAAATATGGCAAAATCATTTCGGCTAACAAGGAATTGATAGTAAGTTAATGTTTCATTAAGTCTTGTTAGCGAAGTGATTTTGCCATTAATCACATTAACATTGCTATTTAATTCTTTCTATAAATTGTTTCTTTATGACATATGTATAAAATTCTGTGATTTCCTTCTATCCGTCTGTCACACCCTCTAAAATAGTCATACATTGACCAAACAAAACCAAACTTTGGGGAGAAGTACAAACAGGTAAGAGGGTACAAAGTACAACTGGTTTTACTAAGGTACATAGCTTAGTACAATTAATTTTATTAATTCTTTTGGAAAAATTAAAATCCAGTTTCCAGTACACCCTGCATTTGTAAGACCTATAAGTAAATCACAAGGCCAAATACTTCAAAAAGTTGGAATGTGGCTCTAGAAAGAAATATTTATGCATGGTCAGTTGTATGTTGCATGCTCAAGAGTAAGAAACCTAAGAATTTATTCTTCGCTGTTAAAAAGGAAAAAGGAAATTTTCTTAAAAAAATTGTTTATCATGAAGTCATATAAAATCAAATTAAAGAAATTATTAAACTGCAAAGTAGAGTTTTGTCAAAGTATTTTTCAAACAAATCAGCTTATTCAAATTTCATCAATTGGTTTGCAAAACTTAGTGAAACAAAGTTTGTAAATCTTAACAAAAAATCTTAGTGATAACTTCAGCACAATACTAAATACTGTGAGTATTTCAACATGCATCAGTGTATTGCGAAAAAGTTCTCGTGCATATATACACCTGGCAGCAACAGTCTATTTTATACAGAAACAGACTATCATGGCTGGGTGTTGACCTCAAACCTATATATATATATATATATATATATATATTTTTATTTATTTATTACACAAAGACCAAAACTACATATTAAGCAAAATAAAAAATAAATGTACTCACTATATTGCGCATTTACCATCTTGTTGTAATTCTGCAAATAAATTAGGAATGGAATCATTACAAATCCCTTATAAATAACATGATATTATTTAGTTTTCTTTCATGCAGTTTATGCTTTAAAAAGTTATTGTCCAATTATAAAAATGGCTAAAAGGATTTTCCTTTTCCCTGAAATTACTAAATTATTTTCTATTATTTAACATTTAAACAATTGTTTTAATAAAAAGAAAAATAACATTAGTAATAATGATACCTTTCCAATAATTATTTTCTATAATTTATTACACAGGGTCTCCAAAAAAATTGACGTCAATTTTTAGTCTAATAACATAGCCAACTCTTGCTCAAATTTTAACAAAATGTGTAAAAACTAAGTCAACTGTATGGACTAATCTCAATGAGAATCTATTAGGAAGATGGATTGGGTGTACCAGTTATAATGACCATATTCACCTGACTTGTGATTTTTTTTCTATGGAGCTATCTGAAACCACAGGTCCATATCCCCTCTTTTCCTATAAGTCTAGAGGAACTTAAGCAGAGAATCACTGAGGTGCTGGAGAATGTTACACAAGACATGCTACAGCGTATTTGGCAGGAACTGAACTACGGACTTGACATGTGTCATGTCACAGGTGGTGTGCATATTGAAGCTTTGTTCGAATTTTGCTAAATAAATCTGTTCATATTCAACATGAAGCCTATTTAATTTTGTTTGCCTGGGATACCATATATATATATATATATATATATATATATATATATATATATATATATATAACCTTTTATTATTTATCATTTAAAGTTAATAATAATTTTTATTATATTTGACAATGATCTGTTTAATCTGACACTGAGAGGAAAAAACAAATGATCCCTTAGTTCATCACCTCTGTCAGCAAAGTATGCAGGCAACTCAATCTGTAGTGGTTCTGAGATTCTCCCCAGTGAGTTCAGCTGAGAGACAATAACTTCAGCAAGTTTCAACTAGATACAGGTTAAACCTGCACTTGGATCAAAATGACTGGCAGTATATTCAGGACAGTGATAACATGGCATCATTGGGCAGAAGGAAATTCCTAAATGGAAATCAACCCTCACAGGGGAGGGTTCCTCCTAGATAGAATCAATGGCCATATGTCTGAGCCTTCAAGTGAGAAGCCATTCATTACGGTCTGTCCTGGAGAGGGTTGGTTGGTTGATTTTGTTTAGTGGCATATCAAACTCTATGGGTTATTTAATGCTAAAATCTAAATATTTTGAATGTAATTTTATGGTTTTATCTAAATATATTTAGAATGCAATTGCATGCCTTCAAATACAGATGAAATGAAATATTGGTAATTCTACTATAAATAGGCATAATTTTACTATAATTTCATAGTGTTTTGTTTTTATTTGTGGGGGAGTCACTATTTGTCCATAGCTGGGGCCCTAACAGGTGCTAACACCCTGGGACTGTGGCAGACCTGGGAACAACAGCAATTAAAAGTGGTTCCAACCTGGAGGGGGATGGTTTTTCACTAGGTCTACTTTGCCCAAAACATGTTATGCATGAATGGATATCTAGCAAGATATTCATGATCCTATGCCACCCCACACCCGGACATAGGACTGATGATGATGATGATGAGGAATTTTGCCCAACACATTTTTAAGACATTTTCTTTGAAATAAAAAAGGGCTATGACTATGTAAATGATAAAAGAAATTTGACTAATTTTTTTGTTTTATGATATATCAACACTTTGTGGGTTATTTAATGGATAAAAATTTTCCCGACTTTTTTGTATAAAAGTTTTAAGTAAAATTTTGTTTTATTTTTTGATTTAAAGTTAAAAATTTTTAAGATTTAATTGATTTTATACAGATAAGTTTCCACTGTTTTGTCTTTAAACATTTGATGAACATGCAAATTTTAAATTTTTCTATATATAAAAATTTATCAAAATTATATGTATATAAATTTCAAAATTTTTTAAAATACCCAACCTCTTTTAAAAATAGTAAAATGCTACTTAGTTTTTCAAAAAGCCCTTAGTTCTGCAATATTTTTTTTTGACTAGTTTGAAGTCAACACATTCTGTCAGTATATGCTTTATCACATAAAGCTTTCCAGACATGTCATTCTCATTGAAGGTTCTTCATTTAGTAGTATATATCAATAAGTAATAAAGAAGTGTCCACTGCTGAGTCTGGCAAGAGCTAGTTCTTTTCTTACTTTTCTGTAGCCTGAAGGCCATTCTTCAATATTGGGTTTGATACTAAATAGCTTGTTGTTTAGACAGGAGTTATTTGTCTCTTACCATTTTCTCAAAATGTATTTATTAATGGACTGTTTTAAGTTTGTGTAAGGTTTTTTTGTTTGTTGATTGCTCAGTTCCAAAGACACCTTTGTTGCTTTATTACCAGTCATATAAAGTCTTTTTTTTGACATGGTATTAATTCTATTTAGTAGATTTGTAGTTAGTGGATTAGTCATTTTCTTACATTTTAGAGCTGTAAGAACTGATGGGAGTCTGTAAAAATGAGGAATTTCTTGTAATTACTAGTAGTTATGATGTCATAGGATAAGCTAATGGCAGATATTTCTGTATTGTATATAGAAAATTAGTTTTATTGATTTTTTTTTTTCTAAAATGGATGGCAGCACATTCCATTTGGTTTCCATCTTTTGATTCATCAATGTACAGGGTGTCCCCTAAAGTCTGGACACACAGAAAATCTCATTAACTATATTTTTTTTTACCTCCATTGATTAAACATGGTTTTGTCGAAAGAAGAAGGAATTGACTTCTTTTTCTGGGGTAATGTAAAGGAGAAGGTGTACTCAATGAAAATCACAGATGCAACACACTTGATTGAACACATAAAGAGTGAATGTGCTAAGATTAATGGCAATGTGGAGTTATTGCATCAAATTCACGTGAATCTTCCAAAGAGCATTAATCGTTGCATCACAAATGATGGAAATCATATTGAAGATGTTATTTGTTAATATTCCATTTCAATAAAATGTTGTTGAAAATTTCATTTCTTGAAAATATGCATTTTTGCCTTTGTCCAGACTTTAGGGACAACATGTATATTAGTAAATGGTCAAGGAGTTTATTTTTGTTAGCTAGTCATTCTTGGTAGAATATGGTTGGGTTGGTCTTTGATTTTGTTTATTTTGTTACTCCTAGCAATATATTTGGTTGCTTGATCATCCAGGGTGGAGAGGTTGATTTGATGAACTTGTGGATTTGTGTTATGTTAATCTGGACTTTAAGGGAATCTTTTACATGGGAGGCTGTATGGTCAAATCATATTTTCTTATTTTATTGAAAAAAGATGCATATTGTAGGTGGAAGACACATTTGTAAGCTGGATTTGATGGGCATAATGAGAGCTTTAAGCAGTATTGCAGTTCTACCTCATTGCTAAAGAAGATTCCTTAGCATCTGCATATAAGTTTTTCACCAGGGAGGTTTTGAAAACTCTCAAAGCTAATCTCATTGATGTACCATATCAAGTGATGTACCATATCAAGTTGTTTTATATATGATTTTCTTACTGCACTATATATAATGCAGCCATAATCTAGTTTAGATCTAATGAGCAGTAAAGCTTGATTAATATAGCTTTGTCTGTACCAAAGTCAGTAAGTATTTTAGATATTTCAAATGGGGTATCTATCTATATTTCTGAGATGAGGTATTGTAACTATTTACACTATTTACATTGTTTGGACACGTGGCCCAGTGGTTAAAAATGTTGGTTGAAGTAATCCAGTCTCTTGACCAAAAGAGTTGTGAGTTCAATACCTGACCATTTGGAAAGTTGAGTTACTAAAGGGAGATAAATGATAACAGAAAAGGCATGTTGAACTAGAACAATGTACCCAGGTGGACGAAATAAAGGGTTTGGTTTGAACATATATCATCTTAGAAGGTCAGAGCGTACAACAACTGAAACTTTGTGAATATGACAAAAAAGATGAGGACAATAGTCTGAACAATGTAAATAGTGTAAATATTCACATGGGGTATAAATATTAGTTTTTTTTGTCAAATATGATGTATTTGCATTTATAAATAAACAAAATATCATTACTGTTTCAAAATAAGATCTTAGTGCATTTTTGATGTTGGCAAAATTGCATGCATTTTGTCTTTTGAAAATTTGAAGTCATTCTCTGCGGTCCATATATTTTGATGAAGCAAAGTTGGAGTTGGTGCTTTATTGTGTGCATGTGCTTTGATCGATAGCAAATTAAGTCATCCACATATTGGGTGCAGTTTGTTCCAACATTTTTTACTGTATTTCTTATTTTTATGTTAAAAAGTGTGATAGACAAAATGCTTCCTTGTGGAACACCCATTTCTTGTTCTTTTTTTGCTGAAATAGTGTCCCTTAATTAGGCTAGGAAATGTCATTGGCAGCTTGGAAAGCTGGCATTCAACTTTTTGGTCTCTGATCTTATAAGTCTCTTTTTATGCCAGGTGTATAATTACAGTTAAGTGTCGTAGGCATTCTCAAAGTCAAAGGAAATTGCTACTGGATGTTCTTTTTTGACAATCGCTTCTTGTATTGAAGTTTCCAAATGAACTATGTGGCCAATGGGACTTTTTATTTCTGAAACCTGATTGATATTCTGCAATAAGATGATTTGCTTTCAAATAACATATCAATCTATTGCTGACCATTCTTTCAAATGTTTTACACACAATTGGTGAGAGCAATAGGTTGATAATTTGTTGGGTTTGTTTTGTTTGTAATTGATTTTGGTGTGGGGATAACAATGTCTTGCTTCCATATTTTAGAGATGTTATTGCTGACCCATATATCATTATAAATTTGTAGCAAGTAGTTCCATGACGATTCTGTTAATTGCTTTAGAAATTGATAATGCACCTCAGCACAGTTGACAGCTATGTCATGAACTATGTTAAGTGCTTCTAATTCTGTTTTGGTAAATAGGTGGTTGTAGTTTACTTTATTTTCTGACTTGAGGTTAATTTTTTTTCTTTCTTCTGCTTCATGATTTGAATTTTTTTTATTTTTTGAGAAGGAATTTTCTGATAATTTTTCAGCCAGTTGGTTTATTTCTTTCTTTTCCATAATCTTTATATTATTGCAAATAATATGTTTGTTTCAGTTTTTCTATTATTTAGATCATATCCCGTAACTTTTTGTCTTTGTCTTCAAGTTTATTCTTGATACATATTTTCTCCATGTATTTCATTTGGAACTTTTAATAATTTTACATGCTTTAGCACTGCTGTTTTTATATACATCCAAATTTTTCCTGGTTGTGTTGTTCTTTAATTTCCCTAGGTTTTGCACAGCATTTTCTAACTTCTTTGCATTCATTGTTAAACCATGGCTTCTTAAATTTTGAAGAGGCAGATCATTTTGGAATGTTTTCTTTAGCTACAAAGAGGAGAGTATTGATAAAATATGCTTGCATTCCGCAAAGTTAATATTAAGCTTCTGAAATTAAACTGAACTGACACAAGTTTTTGAATTATTTATATTCATTTTATGGAGATTCTAGTATAGAATTTTATTGTCTAATTTTGTAAAAATGTAACCCAGTACTACCTGCCACAATATACTATCAGTGGTTCTGACCCAGATGTGGATTTAGCTTGCAGCCAGTTAGTGTCTCTTGACTGAACTCCTCACTGATGATGAGAACCTTGAAACCACTACTCATGGAGTTGTCTGCATAGTTCAGTGCAAGAGGCAATGAATTTTTTAAAGGTTTCATTAATACCTCTTAACCCCAACCCAGATCAAAGAGCAATCTCTTTAACCTGATGAGGGTTTCTTCATGCTAAAGCATCATTCTATAATGTCTAAAAAGCTTAAAGCTGATTAATATTTTCTTGAAAAAGTGTTTGTATATGAGAAACAAATTATGAAAATGGAACTCACATTTGATGTCTCCCTCATCAAAGTAGTGTAATTATTAACCCAGTCTCTCATTTTCTGGAAATAGTCATCAATATCCTGAAAGAGGTGGTGGAAAAAAATTGATTATGAACAGAGATTGTTGATTTTTTTTTTGACTGTTTAACAACACCTTTGGAGATTATTTAAAGCGAAAACATTTTTAGATTACAAGAATTTTTTTTTTTTTGCTAGTGAATATTGCATTAACAATTTTTTGAAGAATAACAAGGATTTTTCTAGAGACAAGTCCTACTATTTAACCCATGATCAGGAACAGGAAATAGATTCATACCTTTCCTAAGGCTATTTGTATGTAAGTGAATGTAACAAACCAAACTGGAATTTGAACTTGGCTCTCTGATTTCTCATTCTGAGCCACTATCCATTACACCAACTGCACATCCACATTGGTTTTTGCCAGTACAGCCAAAAGTTGGGTGGTGGGCACATGGCACAAAGTAGCACATGCGCATATTATATACAATCACCTAGGACTGTGCCTTGGAGAGGTCACTACAGTCTCACCACACACACACACACACACATGCCCTAGTGATTGTGTTCAAGTATGAAACAGACTATTGCCTCTGAGTGGTGTCTTCATTGTCCACTTATGTGTGTGTGTTGACAAAACCAAAAATTACGTAGTTCTTAAATTGCAATCTATTTTAGATGACACAACAAAATTCACAAAATTAAGGAAAATCCCACAGAACCACTCAAAAACTATGTAAACAAACTGATTACAGCAAACAATGTTGAGATTGGAAGCTTAAAAATTAATAAGATTACCAACCAGGATATCTGTACATTAATGTAAAAACCCATAAGTCAGGTTTTCCTCTCCAACCTATTATATCCCAAATACTCACACCAGTGTACCAGCCATCAAAAACTGTAAATAATTTCCCCATACACACCAAACAACTATTGCATAACATCAACAAATGCAAATATCTTAAAAACAACAGATCCCACAGACACTAGCTTCACTTGATGTTCAAAAAATCTTTTTACCAACATAAGAAACAATCAACATAATTAGTGACTTAATCTACAAACACCAGTCAATCATTTCTCCCAAAATCTGGCCAGCAAGTCTTCGGATACTCCTTGCTTCTACATTGAAAGCCCCATTCTATGATCATAATAGCACTCCCTACATCCAAACTAATGGTGTCAGCATGGGAAACCCATTAGGCCCTGCTTTCTTTTACATGTCTCATATTGAAAATAAAGTGTTTGAAACAACTGACAAACCATAAACCTACACAAGGTACACTGAAGATATTTTTGTCTTGATAAAAAAAAGACAAAATTATAACTCTCAAATCAACTTTTGAAAAAAAAAAAACCAAAAAAACTCAATGCTTAAATTTACACACTAACATGGTTAATAACAAAATCCCATTTCTGAACATCAATATAGAACTAAAATTCAAAGTATTAACCACCTATCAGTATAAAAAAAACCCACCAGCACAAACTCTTGTCTTGTAAACTATGACGGTCAATGCCCGGAAAGATATAAAATCACAGTGATAAAAACTTCCTAAAGAGGACATACCTAAATTTCTCTTCCCAAAGAAGATTCCTGAGCAAACTAAAACAAACATTAGTCAACAATAATTTTCCCAACAACATCACTGATAAACAAATAAAATTATTCTTACAAAAAATACATGACACCAATAGTGAAAATAACGCACAACAAAAACATCAATATATTTTACAGCAACCAGATGCAGAATAATTCTAAGCAGGATGAATTTGCTATATGAAGAATTATTAAAAAACATATTTCTGCTGTAATTCCTGAAAAACATATAAAACTTAATAATATATTACAGAAAATGGAAAACCGCAAACATTGTCATCAATAATCAAAATTCATTGTCCAGTACAAGACTGCATTTCTTGTCATAAATCAATTACCTATTTTGGACATACGACCACCTCCTTGAGTAGATGCCTCACATGTCACTTCTCAGAGCAAAGCGTATAATATATGGAGAGCATCAACATTGCGTTTAACAGATATTTTGAATAAAATTTAAATTATGTAACAGTTGTGCATGAAACTTTGAGTCATGCTACTGGTGAGGAAAAAACATATTTATTAATATATACTTAATAACTCTGTTATATTACATTGAGCACTATTTTATTAACACCAGTACTCAATGTGCAATATATAACATTTACTGACTAACCCTAACCCTCCCTAATTTTCTTCCTCTCCTTTATAGGTATCCCAAAATAATCAAAATGTCTGCTGAGCAAAGTTTTCCTTGAGTTATAATTAGAAATAATTTTCAAGAGAAAAACCTATAGAGTTGATTTGAAAAAAGCTTCATCTTCATTGTTTTTTTAAAGTTGCAAAAACAAAAAAGTATAAACTCCAACCTTTTGAAAAGAAAAAAGGATCCTGTTAGTTGAGGATAAGAGTTGTCCAGACAAAGTAACAAAAATCCTTTTTCTACAGATGTAACATTGTCATATTTAATATAGTTGTGTATTTGTTAACCACTGTCACTGTTCGGTTGTAGATCGAGTTAGATACAACAATGTCAGTTGCTGCAGCTTTCTTGGAATTCATATACTAAAATCGGCCTGTCTGTCTGTTGAAACTTAAATTTAATGTATTTTTCACTAGGGGAAAGGTTTCTCCTCCTGGTATTAAGCAGCACAATTCATATCATTGAAATTATTTTTATCACCTTACTAGGAGAACTGTTACAATTCCTCAACAATGATGGGGAGGAAATGAAGCAAGTGAGAGAAAAAGAGACATCCAATTCTTAGTTTTTTTTACACCATGTGTTTGCTAAGAAGAAAACAATTTTCACAGAAAAATTCCTGAAGAAAGAAACTACTTTACAAAGAAATCACTTGCCCTATTATTAAGTGAGAATTCATCAGTTGAACAAAAAGGCACTCAAACCAGTCACAACTTTTTCTTTTTCATAATAGCTGCTGCTAATCCCTGAAATTGAGAATCTTATAACATGACACCCAAGTGTGACTGACACTAAGTCATTTATTTGTTTATCTTTCCTTGGGTGTGGATTTCCACATGTTGGTGAATCTTCTACACTCCAGGGTATCAGATATTTATATAACAGGTTTCAGAAATTCAGTCCAACAACTTGTATGACCTGTTAGATTTTTCTTTTTTTTTTAAATCCATAAAATTAATTTTCTTCTGACAGTTGCTTGTAGATAGGTCAACAGCCTTTAAATGTAACAATGCATAGGGAAGAAAATTAATTTTATGCATTAAAAAAAAAAAAAAAAAAAAAATAGAAAAGAAAGAAAAACCTAATATATATACTATATAAATATCTGATACCCTGAAGTGTAGAAGATTCACCAACATGTGTTAATCCTCACCCAAGGAAAGACAAATGAATAAATGACTTAATGACAGTCACACTTGGGTGTCATGTTGTAATAAGACTGCAATTCCCATTTTCGGGGATTAACATCAGCAATTATGAAAAAGAAAAAGACGTGTCAGATCCTTCTGAAGGAAAAACTGACTTTACTATATAAATTTTATATTTCTATGATTTACAAATTTGTAAAAGTCAGTGAAATCAAAAAACTTCATATCTTACCTTATGATTTCCTTTCCTAGCTTCATCGACTGCAGATGATAATTTGTAGATTAGTCCTTTTCTGATTTTGGCACGGACAGGAGGCTAGGAGATAGAAAATGATTTAATGAATAACAACACCACAGAATAATACATAACCTCTTACACAGTCTTGACAACTCCACCTTAAGCTGAGCAATAAAATCTTTCTATTTTTGTCTATAGTGAAGATCTTTCTAATACATTTTTGTCTGGTATCAACCCTGGGTTACAGGAAAAAAGCACAAGCTAGACTTTTGACATTGTTTTTATAATGACTTCAGTATTTAAACTGATTATGTTTTCTAATAAATGTCATACTTTAAATGGACAAAATTTGAAATTTGATCATTTGCCATCAGCACGCTGACTGGATAGTAATAATAATGATTAATGAAAAATCCAAGGATTATTGTATTTAAAAAAATTAAAAACAGCTACAAAATTTTAAAAGAAGCCCCTTCTCCATAAAGAACTTACCTCAGATTCAGAAAGGAACTTTTGAAGACTATGATCTTTGCCGAATATCTCATGGGCCAAAACGAGATGCAAGTATCTATATAAAAAAAAAAAAGAAAAAAAAAAAGGAGGGTGGAGGAGAAAGAAAAAAAACCGGAAAGGTTTATTAGGTACAAGCAGTTTATATACTATCACGAATATAAACTGGAGTAAAAACAAGGATGAATCATCTCAGAGTGATAAAGGCTTATTAACAAAGATATTTGAGAATATATGAGGTAAAGTCAAACATTATTCACATTTTTGTCATAACATATCTGTGTTATGAGTGCGGATAATTTTTGACTTACCCTTGTATATAAATTATGTGATAAAATGACTGACAGGAAATATCCAAATAAGTATATAAGAGGAAATATACAAGAAACAGTTGGATGTTTTAGTTTTTAATTTGTTGCCATTATTTAATTCAATAACATCATTATAACAACTGAAAAATTAATGAAAAATCTTTACCATGGCAACCTTGCTACATAGAAACTCTGAGGTTAATTTGAATTTTTTTTAATTTAATAGTTAATAAAATTAAAAATAAAAATTTGTAAATAAAATAAATATCTGTAAACAACTCAATGAGATTTGTACATAAGAAAACTGAAATATGTGTAATATATAGGGATTTTGATGCATGAAAAATAAAACAGATTTATGATATATAATTCTCTCTGGCTTTAAACCAAGATATGTCAAAGGAACAATCAGAGTAGAGGGTTTTCTCCAATGGCATCAACGTCCATGTGTCCATGATCAAGATGAGCCTTCAAGTTAGATGATATCAGTTGTTTGACCTGTAGATGGATGGGCTTTGTCAGGTCTATTCTGTCCCAGTCATAGTTTGCATGAAGAAATACCTCTCTGGCTTTCATATATAAACGGGGCTGGTCAGCGACCCTATGATTACACATGGTAATGAAACTTATTATTATTAATAGTTATGGATTTACAAAATATGCTTCTATTCAAAACTTAAATATCTTATTTCAGGCCTAATTTTTTTAAAATTGATCTTCTGTATGCCTTATTCCTACAGAAGGTGGGCAACCATGGCTCCCCTCAACTTTCTAACCTCATAAAACTTCAAAATTTGTCCTCTTCCTAAAAAAATGTTAAAACATATCAAACAAAAACCCTTCCAAAGGAGTGTTATGTTTACACACCAAAAATAGTCTTCAATGGTAGAACAAAATATTTGAAATATGGTGTTATCATTGAAAACAATAAATATTTGGCACAAATGAACAAACTTTACATCATTTGTAATATAATCTGGAAAAGTTGATCAATAAAATTAATCAACACAAAACATCTGTTGTCATTAATAACATATATATATATATATATATATATATATATATATATATATATATATATATATATACACTAGCAGCATGGCCTGGCGTTGCCCGTGCTTGATTCAAAAAAAATCATACGACTCATACAGCAATCGCTATCACTTGACTTAAAATATTTTTGCCCTTCCTTGCCTTTTAAAGGAGAGCCCTTTGCTGTGCTGATGTTGCTACATGCCTTACTTCTTGCCTATCTCACACTGCGAATTTTTTCTAAGCTCTATACTAAACATTAAATCTGTTACGAAAAAAGAACTAAACAAAATGAACACAAAATGATCAGCTTTAAAAAAGGATTTGTAACTGGAAAAAACGAATGAAAAAAGAATGTTAACAACAAATACTTTTTCACACCCAACCCAGTTCTGCGGAATCAGAAACAACGTTGAGTTTAAGTAAGCAAATGAGCCAATTGGAGTAAAGTGCAATGCAGATTTAAACTTTTCCCACTTGTGACGAATGCAGCTATCCATTTTTTTTGCATGCTAGCATGCTAGTTAACATTCGTGTCATTCATCTGTTGGCTCTCACATTGGCCAATAGAATCTTCCTGCCTATTTGTGGCAGCCAGCTATAGGCTCTCACTCTGGCCAGTACAAAATGACCACAAACTACATGAAAACTGCCGTAGAAGCATGAAAAAAATCGATTATTTCCACTATCGATGGGGGTTGGGAAATGCAAGGTTGGTCTTGGCCTTCCCGCTAACTTGGAGCATGTGCATATAAATTTTGGTGCAAATCCATTGAAAATTGCAGCTGTGCATTTGTTACACACACACACAATCCTGCCTTTTATAGATATAGATATATATATATATATATATATATATTATAATGGTTAAAAAAGTGAGACATGATTATTTATTAGAAATTTTATTATGACAAAAAGAAAAAAAAAAGCATTTTATGATTAAATTTTGCTCTCGTTAAAATATCCTCCTTTAGTCTTGATTACTGCATCACAAATTTTTGGCATTTGTTGCAAAAGTTTCTTAAAGTACAAGTTTGATAATTGATTCCATTCTTTTTTTTCAATGACTAAGTGCTCTTTTTCATTTTTATTTTTCATTCTTCTGTCAAGTTTATCACATGCTAATTCTGGTGTGGCTTCAAACTTTTGAACTGTAGTGTGTGTGTGTGTGTGTATATATATATATATATATATATATATATATATATATATATATAATTGTTCATTCATACCAGATACATAAATTAGCAAATACAATACAGTAAATATTTTTAAGAATATAAACTCACCAAATGACATTTAAGACAAGTGATGAATACCAATAAACTTAAAGAATAAACAAATAGTGACTCTAATAATCAAGTAGAATATCTATTTTAATAAAATATAATAAATATATGATAATAAAAACAGGAAATGAACAGATAAATAATTAATACTTCCTTTATTTTCTTTAAAAACCTGTTTTCTTTGAGCAATGAAAAAGTTGTCTGTTTACTACCAGTGCTCCAAACTGATCTAAATCATTAAAAATGCTACAGAACAATCCTTCATAGACTGCATCATAAATGATGAAGTATGTGACACAATCAGATGAGTAACAGGCCTGTTGGAAGATCCTTGTATCTACCATCAAGAAATAAAGTTGAAATGGTATGGACAAGCGCTTTCCAAGAAGGAACCACCTTAAACAAAAGAAGAGGCACAATGTCACCAACTGGATGAGAAGATCCATCACAGAGACTCAAATGGTATGCAACCAAGAGATATGGAAGGAAGCTAGTCAGGTGCTCAACTGTGCCATAACCCCATGACCACACCAAATCATGGGACTGATGATGATATACAGATGTATGTTCTTGTAGAAATCAAATACAGTTTGTGATATATAAAATTCAAAATTGTGTATGGAAAGAGATAACTGCTCAACACCAAAAATTGAAAAACCATTAAAGTCCATTAAATTTTTCTTAACCTTTTTAGATCCTCACAGAGTCATCTTGTTCCAGGCAATAATGAAATCACCATTATTTGTTTGATAAAAATAAAGTCCACTCACTTTTCTAAGTTTCTGCATTCTCTCTGGAATTCATCTCCAACAAGAACATTCGTATCATTCCCAAGTTGTCGTCTTGATTTACTTTCTGCACTCTTGGGGTCAATTTCAGCTTTTAAAGGTAGTGGAGGAACCTATACAGAGAATGAAAAAAAAAAAAATCAGCAAAGAGGAAAAAAACATCAAAACATAGATAAAAATATTATTCCCACCCCATTTGAATTTCATAAATGAGAGGAGGTATCCTTATTTACATTATTTCATCATCAGTCCCAGGATCGGGTGTGGTTGTAGGGTCACATCCCAGCTGACCATTTCATTCAACATATCTGGGTTGAATACCAGAGATGTATCCATTTATGTGTAGACCTGACAAAGCCCATCCCTGTCCAGGCACCAGCTTCACCAGAAAATCCTGGCAGTGGAACTAGTTTAGTTATTGAAACCTGACCATGCAGCACTTAGTTCTGGATTACATGTAAGAGTAATAACGGCAGAGTAACCAGACATTGTAAGTGTTTCTTAAAATGTGTTAAAATTAGATAGATATTGATGTAATGAAACAGTTTAGGATTTATAAAGACTTACGATGAGCCCGTTAATATTATTTTGTGTTATAAGACAGTGGTGAAGCCATTCGAAATCTTCAAATATTCTTTCCAACACTTTCGTTGTTCCATCACCAACCTGAAATCAAACAAGACACATTGTTAATGTCATCATAATAGCTAAGCTTCTAACAACCTAGTTTTACTGCGCTTTCTTTCACACCTTACATGATGAGGAAACAAATTCGTCTTTCAAAGTCATAACACAAATCTAATGCAAGAACATCAACAATTTTCTAGCATAATACAGTCGTTAACTAGGGTAAAAGACAGCTTGTTAATTTGAATACCTCCAAAGCAAAACTTCTCTCCATTAATCATCTGAGAGACTCCTTTCTGCCTTCCATCAGCATGGCTGATGCTAACCTCCAGGAAAGTGGCTCGTTGCCCTTTCTGGGACTAACATTCTCAGCTGACATGAAGTGGAAAGACTATATTTAATTGCTAGTTTAGCTGCTAAGAAAGTTGGTTCTCTCCAAAATCTATTTTACTTATATCTATAAGTTTACCATTCATCCATGCTTAGAATATTGTTGCTACATATGGTCCGGTGCACCTGCTATTTACCTTGAGCTCCTTGATAAAATCCAAAGAAGAATCAGCAATATTATTGATCCTGATCTGAAAGCTCAGCTTCATTCACTTTCCCACCACTGTAAGGTTGCCTCTCTGTGTCTTTTCTATAAATACTTTCAGGACAATTGTTCAGATGAGCTCTTTGCTATGGTCTCTAGACTTTTTGAGTTTAAGTGCAGTACTAGACTGGCATCAAGATCTCATCAAATTACTGTTGAGCTGGCTGAATGTAACTGTAAATTTTATGTTAACAATTTCTTTTCTCACACTTCTCACTTGTGGAACTCACTTCCAGCTCCATGCTTTCTAGCCAACATTAATCCACAAAAATTTAAATGCAATTTTAATTGCTATCTACTGTCCCCCTGATTACTCTTTCTGCTCATTATTAATGTTTCTGTTCCTAATTCTTTCACACTCTGTAACCCCTTGTGTCTTAGTGACCTTATTGCCTTGCATGGAGTGATACCAAAAAAAGAAATGTTGTGTATGTTCACAAAGTCTTTTGCAAAGTACTGAATCATCTGTGGGGATCCACTGTATTGAGTTAGGATTTTCTTTTATCATTGTTGATAGGAAAAGTGACCAGAATTTTAATTGGTAAAAAAGTAATGTTTCCTTTAGATGATGAAATACTGATGATTTTATTAATATTTCTCATACCCTTGGTTTCTAAACCATGTTAGATTATCCATTTAAACCACTTTCTTTTCTTACTGATGTTTCCGAATGCTCAAAAGCCACTCAAGATAGATGGTTACTGAATGAGGTGCACAATATTAATGGGAAAGTAGGAAAATAGGGTATGGAGGATAGTTATCAGCTGACCCTGGACTTGAAGAGGTTATAATTATAATAATTTTACTGCAGAAATGCACTGAAATGACGGTAAACTTATCCTACTGGTCAGTCTTGCAAAATCTGAATTCTAAAGCAATGGCTCAATTTTACTAAAAAGAGAAATTATTTTACTATTGAAAAAAATTTTTATAGTAAAATCTTTCTGATCCTTTTTAATTTATAGTAAAATTTTTACTATGTGTTTCATTCTGACAAAAACCTCTGGGTAACATGAAAAGAGTATAAGCTATTAGAAAGATTATAAAAATAAAGAAAAAATGATAAAATAATGCCAACCTTCGTTGACTCCACTGTAAAATTAAGTGTATCTCCATCTTTGACAGCATTTGTAATCCGGACATCAAACTTTGATTTGTGGGGAGAATTTTCAGATTTTGGGGAAGATGTTGAACTGCTGTCATCTTCAGAAGTTATTTCTGGATTATTTTCAGATTCCTAAAGAAAAAATTATATAAACTGTCATGAGGGACAGACAGAAAATAAAGTTGAGATAGATAAGATGACTAATGCACCAATCAAATCATTCTATTTTGGTTTGAAAGTCCTAATCCCAGAACCACTAAAAAGAAATATGGAGCTGGTCTTCAATTACTCATTTCCATTGATAAGTTTATGCCCAAGGACACAGTTTAACACACTTCTCTCTAGCTATGTCTATGTAAATTCCCTTGTATACAGACATTTTATTTAAACTCAAACACAAGAAAAGAATGTTCATTTCACATAACTTTTCTTCTATCAACCAACTTTAATTTACACAAACTTATTTTGCTGGTTTTGTATCTTCAATTGTTTGCTTGAACCATATATATAAGTGGCACTTTAAATCAATCATCTGTTACATGACTGGGTGTGGCTGAAGAGTTGCTGCACAGCTGAGTACCTGACTTGCATTGGACAAGTAGATGTGGCCAAGCCTATCTCACTCCAGAGATCGTTAATTCCATCTGAGGGATCCCCTGCCAAGTCAGTTTCAGAAGCCCTCTGCTCAGTGACGCTATGTCATCACTGTACTGGATGCATACATAGCTATAGAGTCCAGTTTAGGTTTTGTTTTGAATTCTGCTTCGTGCCTAGCCACCAGCCCCCACCAGAAAAGCCTGGTGGAGGAACCGGTTTAGTTACCAATAATCTGACCATTTGGCAAGTAGTATTGGAATACATGATAACAGTAGCACTCATAAAAGATGTAACTTAAATGTTACCTGCTACCTTAATGTGTAACATGAATTTAATACATGGCCTCCACCTAAAACTATTTCATCGAAGCAATATATTATTATATTTTACACTCATTTTGAATGTGTTTGTGCACAAACATGAAGGGCATGCTGAAAAGTGCTTAGTCTAAACGCAATTTGAACTGAGAACTTTCTACAATATGCCTGGTATATAATTATTAGCTATTGCTTAAAATTAAGTATGATATACCTGAGCCCAAGTGGGCCACTCACAGGCAGTACCTCTTCTTCAGTTAGAGGAGCTAGGATTAATTCAGAGATCTGAGTTGGCCTCAAATAGAAAAGTGCTGAAGGATTTTGTCCAGTTGTCATTTCTAGTCCCATGTATACATAGGACACCCACTTTAATTGTGGCATTGTGCCATATTATACTCAAGTGGGCGTGGATGACAAATACTTTTCCAAAAATATTTGTGTGACAGATGTGTTATTCAAATATATATATATATATATATATATATATATATATATATACACAAACACACAGACAGAAATCAGACACAAATGATTTAAAAAAACAGTGAGGGGGGTGCAATTGCCAAAATTATTAATTAAAAAAAAAAAAGAAAGAATATTAAGTCACTCACACCAAATGAAGAATTTCAAACACAGATTCTAAGTTGAATTGCTACAAACTTTGCATTCATAGATATGTATTAAAATTAAACATTAAATGCTACGATGATTGAGTCATATTTAACTTTTAAGGTTTGAAAGGAAAATAACATCTGTTGCCATTTATTATATATGTGTGTGGGTGTGTGTTTCTTTATATGTAGCACCAAAATAAATGCATTTTTTCAAAAATGAAAACAAAATAATGCTGAATTAAAAAATTTAACAAAAATCTGGGAATTATCAGATTTAAATTAAATTTTTACAACTTATTAATAAATGAATTGTATACTGAATAGATTATTTTATTAGAAAAAATCTTTTGAGTTCAGTTACCCATTCCATTTCAATACATTGGGAATACCTTTAAAGTGGGGTGAGAGTTGTTGCCAAATTTTTTTATAGATTTATAAAGAAAGATTAATATTTCAGTAAAAAGTTTTTTTATTTTACAATATCAGATTTGAACATTTTGAAAATTTGCCCTGAAGCTTTACAAAAATAATTTAATTCAAAGTAATTCACACATTATTTTCTTTTAGATTTGACAGGGAAAAAAATCTACAAGGAATATTTATTTATTTTTCTAAAATTTACTTGTAATTTTCCACTGGGATTTTGTAATTCTTCCAATTACTGATAACAAAAGATATATATTTTTTTATTAAATAAAGACATGATTGAGAACCAAAAAAATGTAAAGTTTAATGTCATTTTCAAGCATAAAATATTTTTAAAAGAATTTTTTCTTTTTTTCAAAGAAGATCAAGTAAGAAATAATTCAACAATTCTGAATTAACTCCTGATTGGTTATATAAGGTTAAGAATAATTATGTCTGGAGGTGTCAAGAGATTTTTATGACATTGGTAGCTGAAAAAAAAGGTAAGTGAAGGCAATCAATTAACTGTAGAAATTCAATAGTTCCATTATCCATTTTGGCCATTTTTTTTTTTTTTTTTTTTCAATTTTTTCATAACACTTTGTCTTGCTGAATAAATTTTCATAAAATAATTAAAAGATCTGACTTGGTTCAACTAAATATTTAAGAAGATCAAATCGTTAAATGAAAAAAAATAAATACAAAATAAATAAAAAAATGTAATTAAAAAATATCACTTCATTAGATTATTAAAAAAAATATTTTTCTATTAACATAAAAATACTAAAATTCTTAAATTTGTTATTATTAAGAGGAAAGATCAAATTATGTTTTTATTATTTTATTAAAATTTTAATTTTAATTTCCAGTGTTTCAAAAATTTTGTTAAAAAAAAGTTTTCCTTGCGTCAGGGTGGGCTTAAAGATTAGCATTAGGAAATTTAGCACCTTTTCGCAGTAAAAAAAAAAAAACAAAATAAATTGTTTTGTAAATTCTTGTAAAAAAAAAAAAACAACAAAAAAACAAATAACTGTTGGATTTTAAATTCTCAGGACTTATTCTCAAATGAATGAAATTATTTTTTTTTGTTTTTTTTAGAAAATCTTGGTAATTTTTTTTTTTTTTAATATCTGTTACCCTTACTTAATTTTATGAAAATTCAAGAAATTAAAATTCCAGCCTCTTTGTATTAATATTAGTTTAAATCAGAAGAATTTAGAGAATTTAAATCATCAGTTTGTTTTAGTCAAACAGAAACAGCATTTACTAAAAAAGTGCTCTGAATCATAATATAAAAACATGCAGTAAAACCAACATTATTTAATTAGAAAAGCTTTTAATTGCTTTTATAAATAAGATATATTAAGGACAATATTGTCTTCTGAAAATTCTTTTTTCAATGATTAATGAGTTTTTACAAGAATTGTCTTCATTTTTTAAAAAATTTTAATTAGAAAAATTTATTAAGTTTTAAATATTTTTAAATTTTTCATTATTTCAGCCTTTTAGATATTAAGTGAAAAGTATATTTACTAATTCTAAATGGAAAAGCTTAACAAATCATCAAACACTAATATTTTTTTTGCTGAATTTTGAATTTTTTTGTATGTGTATAAATGTGCTTATTTTTGTAAGTATGGGCACTCATACACATTATTAGAAAATAAGAGTGATAACTAAAGTAAATTTAAAGCCAAAATTTATAAAATTCATTTGCACTAAATACATTGAATTGTTATCCACATCTTCATTGTCATATTCAAAACAGTCTGAACAATGTAAATAGTGTAAATAATTACAATAACTCATCTCAGAAATATAGATAGATAGATATCCTAAGATTCAATAAAACATTAGATTACAGAGTATATTTTCCTAAAATTTTAAGATTACTGCCTACTTAAAAAGTATATAAAAAAGACGCTTGTCATTTTCTTGAATTATGTTTTACAGATAGTCTCCATAGAACAAAATAGATCTGTCATCACATCAACAAAGCTACTGTCAGGTTAAAAACACAGCTACTGTTGGGTTAAGGCATGCATTTCTGTGATATTTTAAATGTGATGTAAATAATATTTCTTTCAGATCAGATTAATTATACTTTAAATCAGCTAATATTCCTCAAATAATGTTTCAGAAAAGTATATTTTATTTTAGGAAGATTTTTTAATAAAGAGAATGAGATTGCGATAAAAGACGACTAAAAAAAAAAAAAGAAAAAAAAAGGGTGCTAATCAGCTATATTAGCAAAAAAAAAAAAAATTCTTCCAGTAAATTTAAAACAGTTTTTGAAATATAGCAGAGTATTTTGCTTATTGGAAATATTAAATTTAATCTATTAGCTGGAAATTAAAACTGAAATAAAAGCTTCAAGATTTTTCATTTTTAAAAATTCCTTCAAACCTTAATGCGTTTCTGTGGAGGTACCTAAAAGCATAAAGTAATTTTTAAAAAAAAAATTCTGTTAATCCTTAATTTTACTAATTTTTATTTGAAATGAATATCTAGGACAGATATTTTTAAAATGTCTTATTGAAATATGTAAAATTGATTCTTTTTTTTTTTGTAGATGAACTTTAGGCTATTCTTTCAAAAAGAACCAAAGTTTTACTAAAAAGGTGACAATTTTTGATTGTGCCTACTGTAAAAGCTATATTTAGTTGATTAACGTGTTTGAGTAGAAGTCCTTTTTTAAACAGTAGATTTTCGTCTACCGGCCTGGTTTTTGAGAGTCTTCAACAAAGTAATGTGCGCTTCTGTAGCGTTCGAATCTGTGCCCCCATTAGGGTTAACCCTACTACAATGAAAACAAAATAACGCGATTCTGAAAAATACCGAAGATCTAGGAATTATTAGATTTAAAAATAAATGATAACCACGAAGGATTTCACGGCAAGGCAATGGTGAATCCTTGTTTTCTTCCAAAGAAAGAATGCATAGATTTTTGATTAATATGCCGGCCCTTTGAAGTCATCTTAATGACTTCTGTAACTGTAAAATAAATTGAATACATTTTCTAATTAATTTAGATTTGAAACTTGATCATCTTTTGTCGTCAGAGAAGTGGCGAGGTACCAAACAAATTGTTATTATGAAAAACAGGAAAACAAACAAACAAAAAACAGACAAAATGGCCGCCGACTTCGTCGCCGCAAATAAAAAAAAAAAAATAAAAAAAAAAAAAAAAATAAATAAAAATAAAGGAAAAAGAAAAAAACTCACGCCCCCTTTTTGGAAAAGGATAGATTTTTAGAACTGTGACGAGAAATAATCATTTTCTTTTTTCACTTTTTTTTTTATATTATTAAGTTTTCCACAGTTCGAATATCTAAAATAAATAGATTTTATAAAAAAAGTTAATAAATAAATAACAGTAGTCCAGTTTTCTTTTTAGTTTTTAAATTAAATAATTGTAATAATGTAAAATTTGTAAATTGATCCATGTACAATCCAAAAATATATAAATACGCTCATACCACGTAATTTCTTAAAATAAAATTTAAAAAAAAAAAAGCAATATTTTAAATTGTTAATTTCGAGGACTTATTAATCGATATGAAAAAAAAATCTTGAAAAAATTTTCAAGAATTCCAATTGCGAAATTTTAATTTAAGAAATCCTTTGTTATATAAACTTTTTTTTTTTTTTGCTTGTGAAAGGGTAACAATTTAACATGTATTTCCATAGCAAACTGGACCCAACTTTAACTTTTATAAAAAAAAAAAATGAAAATTATTGATATTCGTGTTTAGTGCTTAATTATTATTATAAAAAATCATTTCAGGTCGCGGTGGCTATTCTAAGAGGCCACTGAAAAAAGAAAGAATAAAAACTGTTGATAAAATAAGTAAATGTAAGATTGGTACCTTCATTACTGGAACCAAGAGGCAGACGATTAATTTACGATTACTGAAGGTTTGGTAAAAAAAAAAAAAGAATGAAGAATGCAACTCAACTATTTCCCGACCTGAAACCGATTTGGAGAAGGGGAGATAACTCCTAATGGATTTAATAATAAACGGTGTAAAAATTAAATATTCGTTATGAAAAATACACCACCCCTCTATAAATTTTTTAAAATTATTATTTTTTTTAATTAAAATTTGTTTTCTACAATATAAGCCAGAAAGAAAACGTAAATGTTAAAGTTTTTAATTTCTTACGAGAAAAATGAAACAAAACATTTTATAAAAAGTCTGACACAACTGAGGTGAACTTTAAGGTTCTACGACGAGTGTTCTATTATCAGTAAACGGAAACCTGCTGCATCGACAGGTCATAAGCGATTAAACTGGGCCCCTAAACACGCTTTTCTGGTGTAAAAAGTAGCTACAAGCACGATTAAAAACAAAACCTATTAAACTAATAGGCTTTAAGGTTGTGCTAGAATAGATCCATACTTTAATAATTAAAGGGTGGATCTATTCTAGCACAATGGTGTATGCAGACTACGGTGATAACACGACATCGCTGGTGGAGGGTTTCCTAAAAATGGAATCAACAGCCACGTGTCTGAGTCTTTAATTTGGATAGAGAAGGATTGGTTCTGCCATGTTCACTTTGACACGTTACGCATAAATGAGTAGCTATTTGACTTTCAACCCAGATATGTTGGGTAAACCGACGTAGCTGCCCAGTGCCCAATGACTCTATGACCACACCCAGTCATAGGACTGATAATGTTGATGATAACGGTGACGACGAGTCCTTTTGTAAAAAAAAAATAGGTGGGGAAATTTATTTTAATAATTTTGTCGATTAGCATTCATCAACAGACCTTTCTCTACCATTGATAATTGTAAGAATCTAAAAATATTGATTCTTTTAAAATCGTTTGAGAAGTGAGGGCAGTGTTCATAAATGCATTGTCAAATCGATCCCTGACTTTTTAAAATGTTCTCTGTACCAGTGCGTACTCTATCTTAAAATGTATGCCATGTTTGAAACCGTATGACAATTATCCGCAATAATATCTTTATTCAGACCATATTGCCGAACTATACTTTGTACCCTAAATTTCATTAGTTTGAAAGATTTTCATAAATAAATCACATAAAAATCAGTTCTTTCTCTAAATCATTTTGTGAAATATAAAAAGAAACAATTCGGGTTCGTTAGTTCATATTGAATTGGAGAAGAAAAATTCCCTAATCAGGATTCATTTGAGGTAAATGATTAATATTATCTTCCTACGTCTGTACAAGTCCTTCCCCCAAAAAAATAAATAAATAAAATAAAATAAAATAAAAAAGTTTCAAACTTAACATTTGCAAATAAAAACAAAGTACAGGTTACTTTTTTTCTTTTACAAAAGTCAGGGACCAATTTGATACTCTAAAGCAGTGTTTCCCAATTTTTTTTAGCCCGGCGCCCCCTTGGCTTCCAGATAGATTCCTAGCCCTCTCCCTATATACTGTAGAATCAGATTCCTACATTTTTTTTAAATCTTAAATTTTGTGCAAGTTAAACACATAGAGGCTCCCAGCCAAATATAACAACTGATGTATTTTGATTGGTTGTAAAATATTAATTAGGTGTCGCCAACTACGTCCGAACCTACCGACCCAAATTTTGACCTCTAGTTGACGCCATAAAATGTAAACATGTTTACGAGCCTCCCCACGTGACCAAGAGAACTAATAAAAACGAAACTTCGATGCGACTTGGTCAGTGGGCACTTAAAATATTGAAACCAATTCACTTGACTTCATTGGAAATCAACACAGCAAAGGAGACGAACTTTATCTTCAATACAACAACAAACTTTGTCAACCATCTCCAGGCTTAACGCTCACTCCCACAAAATATTCCATTCCACAAGAATCTCTGGTTAATGAGCGATAACAATCAGTGAGTCAAGAACAATACTTTTTTCTATTTAATACACAAAAAAACATCTGTTTAATTTTCCTATAAAAACAAATATAGCTAACTAAACCTTGTAATTTTCACACATACAGTACAGTAGCTCAAATTCTTTCAGTAACACACACACCAAAGAACTCTATTGTGTTTATCAACTTTTGCACTATATATTATTTCTCTTGTTGTTGTCTTTGTTACATTTGATATTGTAAAAATTGTAGAGGGTCAGTTTTTATTTCTATTTATAACCAATACAAATTGGCTGACCCACTATAATACACACGCGAACTTTTTTTCCAAAGTGAAAACAACAATATTGAACACAAAATATGTGTTGGAAAATAGTAGTTAATTTAATAAACCATTTTATTTAGTTTTTACAATTCAAATGGAATGTGTGTACTTGGTGTAGGGGTATTAGTTTCTCCACATCAAGCTGGAATTCATTAAGAAGTCGTAGATCCCCACATTCGGTAATTTTAAATCTGTTTGGAAAGAATCAAGGCAACTGCACTGAAGCTTCGTTCTACCAAATATGATGGCAATAAAATATATCTTCACCTTGTTCCATAGTACTGGATAGAAGTCAGAGATTTTTTTTTTTTTGTAATCAAATGTCTTGATATGATATCGTGAACTTTGGTCTTAGATTAATATCGTTTTGGATTGAAACTAATTCTTCCTCCGCCTTTCCTATTTCCTCACTGTTGACATCTAAGAATGGATTAATTACCCAGTCTGGTATTTTAAGCAATAAAAGATACTGAAATTTTTCAGACATGTCTCTTTGCAGCTCTTCCAGGTGAGAATAATACACTTGAAGGTCATTATCTGATATTCTGATCTCTTTATCCAATACAGAGAGGCTTGGAAACTTGTAGGGTTCATGATGGGCCAAGTTTCATTTGAATAACTTACACTTAGACAGGAAAGTGGAGATATAAGATTTGACTTTGATAAGGTTCGCGTCATTTCCTTGCAACTGCAAATTAATTTCATTGAACTTTGTGAATATATCTGACAAATAAACTATGTTATTCTTGATGTTTTTAAGATCATCACAGAGCCCAGAGTTAGTTTTGGAAAAATTCTACTACTTTATCAAGTAGTGAATATAAACGTTTCAGGAAGTTTCCCTTTGACAGTCATCTAACTTCTCTGTGTAGCAATAAAAGTTCAAACTTTTCACCATTATCAATGCAAAACTGTCGAAACAGTATGGAATTGAGAGAATGTGCCTTGATTTTATTTACCGCTGTGATAACAGTGTTGCAGGGCCGATAAGGATGTCGCCTCCGTAAGCTTTACGAAGAAAGGTGTGGATAATGAGGGGACAAAGGCAAAGGTTTAAGAAACAATAACGTCGATTTTATTTATCCAAAATGTACAAGAGTGTACTCTGGAGAAATATGTTTGTATCGGTGTCGGGTCCGGTATGACTGATTTTGTTTAGGGGTAGTTGATTTCGGTTGTATCGGCGAAACGAATGTAGAGTTGGTTGGCGGCGGTAGCTAGTCGACTGCCAGACGGGAGAATTATCGGGAACAGCAGCAGGTTGATCGAGTCCCTAAACAGGAGGTAGCGTACTACACTTTGATCCTAGCCCCCGAGCCAAAAAAAAAGGGGGCTAATAATATCTAAAACGATTTATTCAAGTACTCCTTGGCTAGAGGGAGTAGAAAACTGTAGATATTAAATTAATCCCAATGTTGTTCGATGTTTGAAAAAGCGCTGCCTAATCCCATGCTCACGAAGTACGGTTTCCCGCATGTTGCTTGACTTAAATCTGCGAGATCAGGGGTTGTGAAAGGTCAAGGTCGTTTATCTAAAGAGCGGCTAATGGCGGCCGCGATAACAGTATTCATTGATTTGTAAAGTCGACCACTTAGGTCTTTTGTTACCAGATGCCTCCTGTGGATTACACAGTCACCATAAGTACACATGGGTACAGCTTTTTTCAAGAAAATGATGAAGCCACGATGGTGCTCCATCTGTTACACAAGCAAGCATGTTAGAAAGTGGGAATTTTTCTCTTTGAAAAATTTGTCAACAACATTAAATATTTATTCTCCTTTAGTGTCTGTTTACGTTGTCTTGCAAATAATAGCTCTTGAACCAACTTTTCATCTTTGATAAAATGAACATAAGCAAGCAGCAAAGATTCATTTTCTGGTAGAGTGGACTCATCTCACTGAAAGCTAAATTCTGTTGCGGCAAGAATGTTGCACAATGTATCTTCCATGTTTTTCAGCTATTTCATCTACTCTTCTTTGAACCAAGTTATCACTGAGAGTGATAGCTTTTATAATTTGGTCAGGTGACTTATGCACAACCGTGTACAGAATCTTTCTTATTGTAGGCAGAATAAATTCCTCCTTAATCGTATGAAGCTTACCAGATCTAAAAATCAGCAAACAAATATGTGAAGCACGCAAACCGTCAGTGGATTATTGTGAAGTACCAGCAAACATATTTCCAATTGTTTTTGTTTCAGCAACTTTTCTCAAAGTAAATGAAATATGCTATATCTTTGTCTGCTTTATCAGTGTGCATTTTTGTCAAATGTTCCAAGAGTCTGGAAGGTTTCATGGCTTCATTTGAAACCACTATCTCACACAGCAAACACATAGGTTGCTGTTGTGTGTGTTGCGCTTTTACAAATCCATATTTCAGATATCCCACACTGTACTGTCTACACTTCTTTTTTGCTTGCTGTGGTGTTGCCATTCTTTATTCTGTAAAAAAATAACATTTATGAAATATACATAGCGTTTTTCGGGCAACAACGACACTTTTTCAACCAACGACGACACTTTTTCAATCAATAACGACAATAAAAGTTTTTACAATAAAAAAGAATATATTTTTCAACCAACAACGACAAGTAGTTATTAAAAAAATTAAAACTAATACTAAAAAAACATAATAAAATTAAATCTTTATTCGAGAATTTTCTTCTGTGTTAGATCTATTCCCATAGCTTAACATTTTTCTGTAAAAACCATCA